TGCCAAAGGCCACCGTGATGGACGTGTACAACTCCATGGCCGGAATTGTGGATGGATCCATTCCCAACAACATGTTCTCCAAGGTGAATCCTCTTGATGCAGCCGCCGCTGCAAAGGGCTTCTACACCTTCAAGGATGTGGTGGCAGCGTCGCAGCGATGATGAGAGTTTTTGGCCTGGTGCGATGGCATCGAGTTGTCGGACCCTTTGAGGACCACAACTCTATTTAATTGTTGCCAACTTACACTTTTTAAACTGTACAGGGTCGTTAACGATGCGATTGACGACAGTGTTGTTCCTTGAAGCAGTGCTAAATGTGCTTGAGATCTGCAGGCGCGGCGTTCGCAGCTTATTCTTGCTTTGGTTTAGTGAAGGAGGATGAAGGAGGGTGGTAGATGCCAACGGTTACTCGCCAGACTCCATTGGCTGCCCGCAGCCCAGTACCCGTACATCTCCAGTAATCATGGCACGTTCTTCGTGGACAGTCTTGACTGCAGTTTCTGCGCTGGTCGCTTTGGTACAGATTTTGCAACCGCTTGAGTTGTAGGATTTAATTGGGAAAAAATTTTCGGGAGTTTGGAGTTGCGGTATTTGCCGGCAGGTGTCTCGGACTTGGGGTAGTTCAAAGTTTCGGGTCTGGTGGTGTTGCGGTGGTGGTGTTGCGGACCCAATTCCTCCCCCCAAAAAAAGGTAGTCACGGCAAGGTGGCAAGGTTGCGCGTAAGCTTCTTTGTTGGAGGATTGAAGAGGTGATGACTTAGTACGGCCTCATTGCCACGGCGAATTCAATATCAGCCGGCCCGAAACTCGACACTTCGCAATCGCGAAGCAATTTTGGCCTTGAGCATACTTTTGACCAAGAGCTTCTCCTCTTGCTCTCTTGCGAATGGCGCGCTCCACGAGGAAGGTCGCTGCTTGCGCTGTGGCTGCGTTGCTGGCATGCGGCCTCTCCCGCTCCGGCTTCGTGCCCGGGCCGCTTCGCAGGACGGCTGCCCCAGTCGCAGCTGCGTCCGCAGCCGGCATGATGATGGCCCCAGCTGCTTTCGCCGATGAGATCGGTGACGCAGCTAAGAAGCTTGGTGATGCTTCCTATGACTTCGCGAAGGAAGTGGACTGGAACAACGGCATCTTCTTGCAAGCTCCTGGCAAGTTCCAACCTCTCCAAGCCCTCAAGGCGATTGACAAGATGATTGACATGGGCGCAGCAGCAGACCCCAAGCTCTTGAAGGCAGCAGCGGAGGCCCATCACAAGGCCATCGGAAGCATCTCAGGTCCCAACGGTGTGACTTCTCGGGCGGATTGGGATGCGGTGAACGCGGCTTTGGGCCGCGTTGTGGCGTCCGTCCCCAAGGCTAAGGTCATGGACGTGTACAATGCCGTGAAGGACATCACTGACCCTGCCGTGCCGGGGTACATGAAGTCTTTGGTCAACGGTGCGGATGCCGAGAAGGCATACAAGGGCTTCTTGGAGTTCAAGGATGTGGTGGAAAAGAGCATTGGAGTTGATTCAGATCTATTTTTGACGATCTTAGCCTTCCCATGTCGTTCTGCATCTGCGGTGCTTCTATATTCAGCATCTTTTCAGATGAACTCCTGAAACATTCCAAGGAACCAAGTGTCTGCGGTTGGTGCTCCGGCCACTGTGCCCACTGGGGACAAGATTGGTGCGGCGGCGAAGGCCCTTTCGGATGCATCTTACCCTTTCTTGAAGGAGGTGCAGAATGGCAAAGAAGAACAATCTTTGCTGAAGAGAAATGAGAGACATCATGTGAGTCCCCATGCCAGAGCCAGTTCCTAAGGGTTTTGCACTGGGTTTCTTTTGACCGAGCATGCTGGGTTGTTTGTGCGCGTGCCCTCAGGTGGACTGGCTGTCCGACGTTTACCTGAAGCCGCTGCCAGGCACCACAGCCCCGAAGGTGATGACCGCCATTGACAAGATGATCGTGATGGGCAGCCAGATGGACGGAAACCTTCTGAAGGCTGCCGCTGAGGCGCACCACAAGGCCATTGGCAGTGTCGACGCCAAGGGAGTGACGTCTGCTGCGGATTACGAGGCAGTGAACGCAGCAATCGGGCGCATTGTCGCATCAGTGCCAAAGGCCACCGTGATGGACGTGTACAACTCCATGGCCGGAATTGTGGATGGATCCATTCCCAACAACATGTTCTCCAAGGTGAATCCTCTTGATGCAGCCGCCGCTGCAAAGGGCTTCTACACCTTCAAGGATGTGGTGGCAGCGTCGCAGCGATGATGAGAGTTTTTGGCCGGGTGCGATGGCATCGAGTTGTCGGACCCTTTGAGGACCACAACTCTATTTAATTGTTGCCAACTTACACTTTTTAAACTGTACAGTGCAGCAGAATGGTGGAGTCGTTGTTGCATGGGCTTGAGATGGGCACGCTGCGTGTGTCTATGAGGGACTATGCGAACAACTATGGCTATGCTCTCTTTAAAACGAAGTTTGATGAAGACTCGCCTCTTCTGAGCAGGAGTGGAACTGGGGCCACCACGAGCCTCACATGACCCACGAGACGGGTCCCATGAACCCCGAGATCGACGACGCTCAGCCAAGCACAGCATGAGAGGAGCTTCTGATTTTCTGTGTTTTCTGCACAAACCTCACAAGTCGAAGCTCATGGCACCCAGCGCCGGGCCCCAAGATGCCCAAAACCCACAGCTTCAACCCAACACCACAACGCGGCATTTGGCTGCGGGTTCCTGCAGCCCTTCATCGTAGAAATGCGCAGACAGGCACTCGTTGCTGACTCATATTGAGACCCATGCCCTGAATGGAGTCTCGCCAGTTTAGGGGGCTTTTCTTTTAAATTCATATGCTTGGCCAAGAGCATCACACTGAATCACCCATTCGAGGGGGGCCTGGGGGGAGAAATGGGGCATAATATGAAGCGGCTTCAGAGTCAAAGCAATGAAAGCTGAAGTCCTTTGTTCTCTCCCCGCCCTTCCGCTCCCTGAAGAGCTCCTGAAGAGCTCCTTTATTTAGCTCCAAGAGCTCCCTGAGGAGATCATGGAGGCATCTCGGCTTCTGCTTTGACACTTGGGGCATGACACATGCCTTAGCGTGACGCGCTTGAGGCTTCTGGTCATTTTTTGGGGGCTTTTGGGTTGGAGCTCTTGCTAGGGAGAATTGTGGGGGAAGGTTTGGGGCTGTGGACTCTTCAAACCCGGGGCTTGTTTGGTCTCCCGAATCCGAAGACTGACCGGAAGGAGATGCAGCGATACGACGCAGACGACACGAGCCTGGACGTGCCCCTCGAATGCGATCAGGGTGTGTAGGGGGGAGGGGGGGGTTGCCACACCGCATGGCTATTCCGTTTTTGGGGCTAGGGGTGAGAAGTTGGGGAAGCAGAACCTTGCCCGCTGAAATCCCGAATCCCTCATCGCCCCCTAAACCCCAAGGCCTTGCAGGCCTCAAGCCGTCCCTGCGCCCCCCGAGGTTCTACATGTCGGTTGGGGTGCTGGGCTCTTTGCGGGATAATGCCACGGCCGATGCGAGAGTGAAGGACGTCCATGGGGAGTTCTGAGCTCAAGGGGTTCATGACTTGAGGTGGTTGCAGACAAGCTTGAGAATCTTCAGATACATGCATGTAAACAAGGGTTTTTATGGGGAGTTGAGCAGAATTCTTTTCGGCGGTACTGTGGTTCAGGAGCTCTGGCACGTCTCGCCAGTGTCTTGGCAAGCACGGCTGAGAACTGTGTGGGCTGCGGTCGGCTTCTGTGGGCTCTAGGCTGAGGGCCGGTGGTCGAAATGGTAGGTCAAAGTTTTGGACTTCCGGGGCGCAAGGGGGGCCTGACACCCGGGTCCCTGCCCCCGACGACGACATGCACCCGGCCGATGGCACACGCCTCGGGGTTTTTGGATCTGGAAGTCTGAAGCGCATGGGATTTGGAGGTTTGGCAGTTCAGGCAAGGCAGGGAGGCAGGGCCTGGGGCTTGCAAAGCCGGAACTCTGAGGCCTAAAGCCCCAAAGCCCCAAAGCCAGAGCCAAGATACCAGGTCGTTGAAAAGTCCGAGGAGCTTGTCAGAAAGTACGATGGCACGCTCCATGAGCCTCTTGGCTTGGCGCAGACCGGAAACCCTAAACCCTAAACTCATTAGGTACAAGTGCCTAGGGTGTGAGTGATAGACACACGGGTTTAGGTAGTTGCCGTACTTGAGAACCATTGTACCCCAAGATTGTACAGCTAGAATTCAGCCCCAAAACCGGAAACCCGAAACCCTTCATTGTGACGGCACTTTGTGCGGTCTGTGCGCCCTAAGGGCGTCGCTGCTTCAAAGAATCGCACCCGGGCGGCACCAGGAGAATCCCGCATTACTCCAAGAAAGGGCGGCAGCTGCTTTTGTTGGCCAACCCAAACACCTCCGTGCCCTAAACCTAGACCCTCCTTGCTTCTTTCTTATACTCCCTTTTTTGTCTCCATCTCACATCCCACACTCCGTCCCCCGAGTTGTTCGGAAAAGTCGACACCAGCAAGGTCGACCGTTACAACCATGCCGTTCGCAGCGGCCAGAGGGCGGCGATCCTGCTGCACTCCACGTGCTGAGCAAGGCACCTGAAAGGTCCTGTCCAGCAAGTCAAAAAGGAGCCTGCAGGGGCTCTGAGGTAGGGGCCCCTTGTGACCGCCTTTTACCAAACAAGAAACCTGCAAAGAGGATGCCCTGCCCCCCCCCCCTTTCTTTGGATAGCATGTTATGAACTTTGATGTACATCGCTGTAGAGTCTCACAGGTTAACTTAGCTCTCCAAAAGTCAATGGACAAGGGACGGCCACAAGAGGAACGCTTCGCATCGCTTCGCCTGCGTGGAGAAGAAAAGGCCGCCGCGCCATTGTGCCCCGTTTTTTTCTTCGCCTTGTTACATTGTTTGAGTTCAGATCCTGGCCATGCTTGTACGGCGCGCGGGAGAATTCAGTGTTGCTAAAGACTATAGGCAGTAAAGGCAGTAAAGGCGTTAAGCATGGCACCATGCTCCTGGTTCCGCGAGGAGAAGACGGCGGTCATGGAGACGCTGCGTCCACTCTTCGATGGCGACGAGGCATCGCTTGCACTTGGCTAAGAAACCCAGTGAAGCCAACACTTATACCCTATACTGAGGGACGAAACCCTAACATCTGTAGGGTTGTTAAATTGACTGCGACTTGAGACATGACTTGTAGCTTCCTTTAATTAAAGGGCAAACGGCTCTGAAACTCCGAGAGCGATTGCAGAGGCCCCTGATGCCGGGGGGCAGCCAATCTTCTGACTTTTCGGGGCCTCCTTCGGCTCTCTGCACTTAAAAAAACCGCTCCCGTCTCCACCCGAGATCTGTATGCTTCGAGGTGAAATTCAATTGATAGGGCTTCGGGTTTAGGGCTCAACCCAGCAGGTTGTCGACCTCCGTGATCCAGACACGACGCTGTGGGTACTGGAGGACCCGCAGAGATGGACACGCCCCAAGCAATGCTCGAGCGCACCCATTTTGCGGATGAGTTACCCCCTTGTCTTGGATTCTGAGAATCATCAGTCAAAAGAAAAGAGAAGCAAATCTTCGGCGGTTCTCAGGGCTTTGGTCCTGAACACCAAAATCGCGGCCTGCCGAGTGATCCCAGTCTTCTCACAATCCCGAGTCCCGGAATCCGATTTAGTCGGCGCAGCTGGTAGTTCCATCCCCAAGCTTTCCTCAACTCAAAAAGGGATCAGCTTTACAGATGGCCTCCCCCACTGCAAGTCTATGAAAAAGTTAGAAAGGATGCATCCTGATGCGCATATTATAATATGGTCAGCCCAGGAAGCTGAAGTTCTCGGAAAGTCGAGAGGAGCATTCGCACCGCAGCGATGAGAAGACGCACCTGGGAAAACGGACAAGGCCGCCTGGAGCCCCAGCAGTGCTCAATTTCCCGGATGTCCAAGATGTTAATCGCGCTACTGGTATCCCTTTAAGTCTATGATCCTGGGTCACGCCTGGGTCTGCAGCAAAGATAGTGGTAGGTCCTCGTGAAGTTCGGTCAGGGTTGGATTTCCATAGCTTTGACCGGGTCAGCTGCATGCAGGCGTTGCTGTCGCAAGCTCCTAGCTCGACCCGTAAGGCATTCTTCAGCAGCTTAGGAGTTCAGCGGATCTGCGGATTTAAGCTGAGCGCCTGTTTTGTCTGGGGTTTGACAAGGTTGCAGGGTCATGAGCTCCTGTTCTGCTCTTCGACGTCCCTGTACAACCCGAAAACCCTGAAGCGCACTGAGCCGCCAAAAGAATCCGCGGTGGCGAGTCTCTGCTAAGGCCTCAACGAGTCGTCCTGGGTCGACAGGCCCCTTGTCAGAGTGCCGAGGGGACCGGAGGCGGTGAACCCTAAAGAGCTCCCGAAGTTGGCTCCATGGCGCATTGCTCTGAAGCCCCTGGAATAGTTTATTCGGTGGGAGTTTGTCAGCTTCAACTTCAGGACCTTTAGGACCTACGCCTTCGGGCCTCAGGCTACGGTACTAGTTGTTAAAATTTCCCTGCCCCGAAGCCCGAAACCTGAGCCTGAGCCGCTTACTCTGCTGGGGCAGGTCGCCGGCGGGCGAAGCACGGACAAGAAGCTGAAGAGCGGCGAGAAGGCGCGTGGGGCCGCTCTTGTCGGGCTAGAAGCCCCCGAAAAGGGAACCATCGAAGCCGATTCTGCTGCAGTGCTTCTTCCACCGCTACGACCTCTCCAAACGCGCCGTGCTCGGTCCAACTACGCTCGAGCCGGGGCCTGAGCTGGCGCGGGAGATCATCAGCAAGGAATGCGAAGCGTGTATGTGTTGGGGGGAGAAGGTTAGGCAAGGGGTGGGAGGAGGTTCTGGGAGGTTCTAGGGCTTCGTGAGGTTTTGGCTATGGGATTCAGTGGGAATGCTTTCCAGTTGTCCGTTTGGCGCGGCGTTCGCCACGGTGATCTCACTTTGCATCGGTGCACAGACCCTGCAAGAAAGGCTGCAGCTTTAAAGTCCTAAGCCGCGGATCCCAAGAGAACGCTGCAGGTTTAGTTGAGAACCCCTTCTCAAAATCAATCCAAAACACGAAGGCCTCAGCCCTCAGATCTCCCCCGCAAGGCCCCCCCCCCCCCCCCCCCCCGCCCCTTGGTGCATCTCTCCCCTTCGAAATCCTCAGCAACGAGCTGTCCTTCATCATGGCCAACTGTGCTGGCGTCCGGCCCGGCTCTGAGGGTACACAACACCACCTTCATCTGAGTCGTCGCAATGAATGCACCTTTATCCGGGATCCATGGGCGGAGTCACCTCTTTCGAGCCAACAAGGCAGCTCACAAGCTTCATGCCCCAAAATGGGCCCAAGAAGAGCCGATGACTCTTGGAAGACTCCCAGGCCGAACTCCCAAAGATGCTCTTAAAGCTGTCAACGTCAGAGGTCACGCCAGCTGGGAATGGACCCCTTCTGTGGGTTGGGGCCCTCAGCTGCCCCAGCTAAGGCTGCTTGTCGGCGTCCATTGCGAGGATCTTTCGTCCGCCGCGGATTCAAGTAAAGTTAGCGACCGTCCGATAGCCTAAGCCCAAAACTCTGAACCTTGAACGGCCAGGGAATGGGTTCTACACAGACCCAATCAAAGCTTCCAAATGAGCTCGTCAGGAGTCAGTAGGGGCATAGGTGATGTTGGGCCACACACAGAAACCTGGAATATATCTGGGGGATGCAGCGCCGATATAATCGCAGATCCACATGGCAGCTCAAGAGGGGTGCAGGGATTGGGGCCTTCCATGGGGCTTAGAACGGGTCGACTTTGCATTCAGAAGCGGTAAGCCCCGCCCCCAAGGACGGGCGGCCTTCTCATCGCCATGGCACACTTCGGCGCGCCCGGGCGCACAGAGGTCTCACGCTTTTGCTGTCCGTTTGCAAGACTTTCTGTTTGAAGGCCGCTTGGGCGTTGCTAGGGGTGGGGCTTCGGGACAAGGGCATGGAGACACCCCCAGCCCTGACTTCCTGAAAATGGCGAGGAGAAGTTCGGATTCCGAAATCTATATCGGAATTGTCCCTTGCAAAACTCGCTCCTTGCTGTCAGCGAATAAACTCTCCTCGCCATGGCAGTCTTCTTAATTAACGTTTGGGCAGCAATTTCAAGGGTAAACGTCTCGGATGCAAGCATCTTCAGTTGTCCCAGGAAGCTCTTCGCAGGAGAGATCGACATACGCGTGGTGCGCGGCTGGAGGCAAGGATCTCTTCCGGCGTCAGCACGACGTCTGCATCTGCCAATCGTTTGCTCCGACTTGGAGTGGTTGTCATGCAGCTTCTGATCCTCAGCCTCATCACCGCCCCGACGGCCATCATCATCATCATCCTCATCCTCATCATCATCAGCAGCAGCAGCAGCAGCAGCAGTAGCAGCATCAGCATCATCGACAACGTCAACATCATCATGAATTAGAACCATCAACAACGTCACAGCATCGTCATCGTCAGCAGAATCAGAATCGGTGTCAGCGTCAGCATCACAAACAGCAGGAGCTCCAGCTAACCTGAGCAACTTGGACATCAGGGAACAGCAGCCCGGGGTACAGAAACGGGTTTTCCGCCTTGCCGCAGGCCATAGGGCCGTCAAAAAGTCCACCTTAGAAGCTTTCGACCCCTCGAAGATCTGTGCCAGACGCTACCAGTAGAAAGGGCCCAGCAAGCCTAACCTCCCCTTTGCCCGAAAGCTCCAAAACACCCAGGGCCTTCTCGGGGTCGGTCTGCTCCCAGGCCAAAAGACTTCACAAAACAGTTGACGAGTTCGACGAGTTCGCCCCCCTTCAAGTCAAAGCTCCCCAAATCGAGCCACATGCTAGTCTCAAGCCTTTCGCAAGCAGGATCGCCTACACCAAGAACAAGGCCGCCATGCTCGACGCCGCAAGGAGCCGCGGGCTGGCAAAAGGCGGGGCTCGTGCTGGATTTTGTGTGTGTGTGAGTGGGTGAGTGAGTGAGTGAGTGAGTGAGTGAGTGAGTGAGTGAGGCACTGTGTGTGTGTGTGTGACTTAGCGGGTGATGGCCAAAACAAAGCTGAGATTCTGGTCGCCACGTGTGTGCTAAAGGCACGTTGCGTTGCATCACACGCGTAGGTTGCCTCTCTTGGCCGAGGGAGACTTGCTTGGACTCAGACCCCCCCGACAGCCCCGTATTCCTTGTGGAGCTACGGTAGATGCATCCAGCCTTTACAGCCAACAGCGCCAGGCCCGATACCCGCCGCCGATGCCACGCAAGCAGCCAACGAGCAGTGCCCACAGAGTCGTCATCAGTCCAGATGCTAGCAGTTGTGGCCACGGACCTGCCGGTTTTGAGTAGGTAGCAGATGTTTTGTTCTCTCCAGGTGCTCTGGCAGCTGCGACAGCGCCAGCAGCTGGAGCTTGCAGTATCTACGGGGATTGGGGTGCGGAGCTCGAAGGGTCTGTCCGCCGTGTGATATTGTACCCAAGTGCAACTCCTCCAGCCCAACTGCTGTAGCTTTGGAAAAAGGTACCCTCTGCCTTGCATGTTTTACTTGTCGAGGACCCCCGGACTGAAGTTAAAAGTTCTGAAGAACATTTTGAAGCATACAAAAATAAAGATTAACATGCAGAAAACATACAAACAAGCTCTGAGACCTCCACAAAGAAGGGGCAGCTCCCATACAAGAGAACTCTTGGAGGTTGCCGCTTGCGGTGGCGGATGGCGCAGGGGCCAGCAAGGCCGCAGGGTGCATGAGGTTTGGCTTGGCTTGAGTGGGCGTACAGGGTTGGGCATGCCGGGCAAGGCGGTGGGGGGGGGCTGCAACCCACCAGAACCCTCAATCGCACCACGGTTCGGGGGGGGTTGTGGCCGGACTGATCGAAGGCGCCCAAGCAGCCCAACAACCACAACGCGAAAGCCGAGAAGGCCGGAGCCATGGAGCTTTCGAGCTTCGGTCCTCCAAACCTCAACAGAGTCGAGATGGCAAAAGCAAAGCCTCCACAGGTCCGGGCCTTGTAGGTTCGGCTTACGAGCAAAGATTTTCTGGGAGATGCTGAAACCCTGAATTTTCCGAGGGAACGCGCCCAGCCTCCCAGCAGTCTGCCATACCCCGTACCTTTTGGGTTGGGGGTCTAAGGCTTGAAATTTACCACAAAACTTGAAAGAACGGAAATGTGCCGGACGAGGATCTTGAGTTTCCCATGGAGCACCCCCCTCCGAACGGAATGTTGCAGGATCCGGCACTCACCAGTGCTGGAGGCTGCAATATCTTCACCAACTTCGCTGGCGACTCAGCCCCACAGTGGTGGGTGGAAGACTGTTACAGTCTGGCCTAATGTGTGACTGTTTCTGTTGATAGTAGGATGACTACCACAAGTAGTAATGTAGTGGCTTCAGGGTTTCAGGCATTTGCGGGATTGGAGGCCGGTTGCCGTCTTTTGCCTATCCCTTCTGAGTCCCGAATGTGCAGTTGAGCCCAATGCCTCCCCGATGCCCAAACTCCACACTCGCCTGTGATCCAAAACTCGAGCTGCTCGTACATCCCCGGATAGTATGGGGAGACTATGCCACAGGCTCGAGCCAACCACAACGCCCGGAACCCGTACGATTCCCAGGTGCAGTATGGATTCCCAAGTCCGGAGGTCGTCGTCTGCCCGGGGCCTGAGCTCGCGACGGTGTGTAAAGCGGACGTCCTGTGGCCCTCCCTCCACGATGGCTCAGTCTGCGTCTCTGCAAGGAAGCAAGTAAATAAGTAAGAAAAAAGAAAAAAAGTAAGTAGGTAAGTCTGTGTGTATGTGTCTGTGTGTGTGCAGTGTCTGTTCCGGGGGTTGGCAATTCTCCCCAAACAACGCTATTGACCTAGAATCCCTAAAGTCTCTGAGCTCTGAGGTGACAACGCCATGCCACCGTGGCGAGGGGTGGCCAGGGGATGGCTGGTAGGGGCCCTGGGGTCTGCAGGGTTTCCTTCGGCGTAGGAGGTGAGGTGAGCCGGTGCTTGGGGGTAGGTTTTGCGACCGTACTGAAGCAGCTACGGTTAAAGGAGTGTCTTGCCTTGCTTCTCAGAGTTGAAGTTTATGTAGGACCTCAGGCGACATGCGCGGAGACGTGCCGACCAAGCCTTCAGACCCATGGCCCAGTTCAACTAACTTTGAGTGCACATTTGATAGAAACTCACCGCTTCGTTGTTGCGGCCCGCAGGACTTCATCATTACCGACCCTCCCTATGGAGTGCGAGTGCCTTCCCCAGACCTGGGTCAAATGGAGCTTTGTGAGTTCAAATGGAACAAAGCAAGGCAGAGACCTGAAGTTGCAAGCAGAATCCTTGCCTTGAAGCCCTTTCCGGTTGCTGCCACCCTCCCCCCCCCCCCCCCCCCAAGTTCAAGGCGGGAGCGAAGAAGTCGGGTCGAGATGAGACGAAGAAGCAGGTTGTGATCCAGGCTGGGGAGTAAGAGTGTTTGGTGGGGGGGGGGGGGGGGGGGGGGGGGGGGGCGTGTTGCTGTTGTTACCTATGGGAGTGCTGGTTGTCAGTGTTTAGGCCGGGCCTTCCCAGTGACGGAGTGCTTCTGGGCCCAAAGGTCGAGGGCTTCAGGCTTAAGGACAAATAGACTCAAAGACATGCAAACTTCAGTGTCGGCCTGTGTCATGTGCTCGAAGCTCCATAGAGCCCCCGTTTCTTGGCTTAGGTTGGGTTTCCTTGGCTCCAATCAGGGTCTCCGAGAAACTCCCGAATATGCTTGCATTCAATTCAGAGTCGGAGCACGGCGCGTCTGACTTCCGCTGCCTCAGTGCGCTGTGCAAGGATGTGAGCAACTACATCCCCTCCAAAGTCTCTTACGGTGAGGAGACATTCATGTTCTTTCAGGATTGAATGGTTTCATGAGAAGCCCAGGACGTAGTCCATCGTAGCGAAGGTCAAGTCGACATGTTGAGGAGGAGCTGTCTGAAGACCTCCTCACCTTTGCCGCGGCGAGCCTGGTGGACGGGGGGAAGCTCGTCTTCCTGGTGGCTGCCTCAGAAGAGCTGACTGTGCTGCCAATTTTGGTTTGAGGGCCACTCCCCTCTGCGGGGTTTTGGGCTTGGGGTTCGGTCGCTGGTCCCTTCCATACATGCTGCGAGCTGGTTTCAGCTAAACCGGCAAACCCTTAGCCTAAGCCTTGTAAACCTTACACTCTTCATATCTAAGCCTCTTTTCCCTGCGCGAATGGAGCTCTGGACCCAAAGCTGACAAACATATTACGGCGTGTCTGCAGGTCCCGGTGGACTTGGCAGACTTCTTGGGAATCGACCGAGCGGCTGTGGAGCATCGTGGCCTGCTTGGGGGGGGGGGGGGGGGTACCGTTCTGCACAGAATGTCGGCGCCCACCCTTCGAGGCTCATACGCCGCATGCCTCAGTTCACAGCAGGATCGCTTTGATCACACCCCAAATCCGGCACAAGACGCCGTTGACGTGCGTTTAACCCAAGGCAGGACAACGAGGGCGCCAGGCCGGGTGTGATTGTTCAGGCGTATTTTAATGCGCAGAGGAAGATACACCCATATTTGTTTTTTCACCTTTCTTCCTGATGGCATTGTAACAATCTGCACTCCCAAGGTGTCAGGATACAAGCAAAGGCCTACGGTCAGACATGCCTCGCCATGGATCTGATCGGATCATGATATGATTGCCAGGGGGATTTCCGGGTGGTGCTTGGGGCCAGAAACTCCGGCTTCCAGCGGGAGCACAGAACTCCCCCCTCTCATCCCAAAGTCTAGGTGCTGAGCAGGTATCCCTCTAGCTTGTTCTGCGGTAGGGAAAGCCGCCGAAGGTGAACCCCTGGTTTTCCAGCGAAGTTCCCAAGTGCGGAGGCCGAATTTCCACGACATCTGCCACCCGAAAGCTGGGCGGAAGAAGGATCCCAGGCCCTGATCTTTTCAGGGTCCAGAGGGTGGAGGTACATTGGGCTGTCTCGGGGCATCGGCAAGTCATCAGCGCGCAGCGGATCCCGACAATCACAAGGGTCCGGCCTGTCAGCCAGCGAGCGTGCCGATCACGTGCCTCCTGGACCCCTACAGAAACCAGCTGTGCATGGCACCCCCACCAAAACCACCTAAAACCACCTGAGGTTTTGCTAAACCTCTGGCCTTAAAAAGCCGTCAAAGAGCATCACCTCAGGCTTTGCGTCTCGGAGACCACGCGCGACCCGCTGCTCTTGGATGAGAGCCGTGGCCTGGCTCGAAAACTGGAGAAGGGCTCCACCCTGTGTTTTCTTAATTTCTTATCTTGTTTCCATTCTCATATTGAGAATAACCGTTTTTTTATGCATATTTGATTCATTCTTGATATGTCGTTTTCGATTATACTATATGGCCCTCTGAAGGATGAAGTTTGCACCCAGTTTTCGAAGGAGGTAGTTTCGAGAGGGGCTTCAAGAGCAGTTGGGCACTCCCAGATTCAGAATACGTGCTTCGCCTAGCTAAGTTTTCGTTCGATGGATGAGGGCGCCAGCCTCGTGAAGCCCTTCTTCCTGACCCTGCCCAGTATGATCCTGAAATTCGGACGGGCACATTCACCAACAATTCGATGATGGGGATTCCCAGTTCAGCGGGCCTGAAAGGTCCACGAATGTTGTGAGCCCTTGTTTTTTGTTTTCGATGGGGAGGGGATGGGGGGGGTCTCAAAAGTCCCCATCTCTGCGCTGTCACCAGGCTACGTCGACTTCATTCCTCAGCACGGCTCGCTGCAGCCGGGCACTCAACCTCGGGCCTTCCGGGAGCAGGGCAGTTGACTTGAAGTATGGTGGCGTCTCTTGAGGGCGGTCTCCAACGTGCCCTTTAATCCGGCACGATTCGACCCTCCCAGACTCCCAGAAAGTCCCCCCATGCTGAAGTTCCCCGCCCCCCGCCCCCCGCCCCCCGCCCCCCGCCCCCCCCCCAGAGACCTCTCAGAGGCTTCTCGGGGCCTCTCTGCAAGTTCTCAGCGGCGGCTTGGGCAGGCTTCTGGTGACCATGCACCTTGCCATGCCTTGCAAGGGGTCAGCTGCACCGCGTTAGGGTTCCAGGGTGAGAGCCGGCTTTTCAGAATTTTTTGCTCCGGAAACCCTTCTGAATTAGATGTGTTGCAGCTGTGGGGCTCGAGCCCCCAGACTTCGAGATGTAGGGATTTAGCAAGGCCTGAACAAAAAGCTTCGATTTACTTTGCCGACGAACTCAGGCAACGGCGGCCGCGGTAGACAGCGAGTACGATGAGCACAGCAAGTTGCTCAAAGTTCAGGTTCAGTGCTTTCGGGACAGTGGGTTCGGAGGTTTCACGAGAAGGTTAGCGGCTGTTGCTTTCAGCGTGTGGTGATGATGGGGTGGGTGAGTCTGGTCACAACCTCTCAAGTATGCCAACCCAAAACATATCAAGCCAAGGTTTCGCCCCACACGCCCGCTGTCCACTCGCAAGGGAACTGACAGTACAACCTCAACATCCCCTGCCCTGAGTAACTTTCGCTTGTCCTTGGTAGGTAGCCCAAGACTCTAGCATGTCAAGCGTGTTTTCTCATGCCATGATCAATCAAAATGCACTAGGCTTGGGGCTTTGGGCCCCTTTCATGTAAAGTTTGCTCCGACCCTGCAAGGAACTGCGCGCAATGGAGCTGGAGTTCAGTTCTTTGAAGCCCCTAACACAGCCCTACCCACGAAGGAGTTCCTGAAACAGAGCTGAGACTTCAGGGCTCTTCAATGTTCAGCAAGACCCGACCTGAACTTGCCTTGCTCCACTATCTACCGGAGCTCATTGGCACACATTGTTTCTGAAAAGGCCAACTCCAAAAACCTCAAAAATCGGTGTGCTAGATCAGGTCAGCCCATGGCCGTGTGCTGGAGATGCGTCACGGGCCCAGGCCACCGAATCAATCTGGATAACTTTTTTCGGAATCGTTACAGGCCGCGATGTTCCCCTCCCAAGAAGAGGAACTTCGATTTGGGTTAGTGTAGACAGTTTTGGGAGGTTCCGGCACCCCGGCATCTGCACCCGAAGATTGGAGAACTCGAGGCCCGAAAGCCGCTTTTGGCCCCGAGAGCCCAGGCAGGTGGCAAAGCCCTGAGCAGAGAACCCTCGAATTCAGGGGCAGTTTTTGTGGGAGCGGTTCGGATGGCTTTAGGCTTTGAAGCTCTTGCAGCTTAGGCGGCCTTTTCCTGTTGAGGGTTTTGTGGGGGGTGGGGCTTTAAAAGCTTTTCAATCCCCGCAACTCGGCCGCAGTTGCGACTCCGCTTTGTGCTGGCCGCCCCTCTGCAGCTTCGGGGCACGGCGGCACCACGCGAGGGCCGGCTTCCTCCGCGAAATCGTCCCGAAGCCCAAAAGTTGCACATCCTGGGCCTTTCATCGCATCTTGAAGGACCGCATCATGGGGGGGGGGAGCACAATACCTGGGCAGTGCAGAGCGGCTCGATGTTGGGGATCGAAGTATAGAAGGTCTGACAAGCTTTGACGACCTGAAGTTGCAAAGATGATGGTGGGATCCGAGCCTCACGTTACGGTCCAGTCTGTCCAGGAACGCACAGGAGTGAACAGAGGCAATAGACAGAGCACCTGGGCAGCCTCCCAAATCGAAAAGCCCCTATCAAAGGATTCCTTGCAGGATGCAAGGGGACCTGTGTATCAAACAAAGCCTTAAATCCCTAGCAGGGCCCTAAACATCGAAATTGGACGGACTTGGAAGTGCATTGTCAGGACCTCCGCACGCGCAGGCCACAAGATGCCGCAGCATCCCCAGCCTTGGCCCGCCGGAGGCTCAGGCAGCTTTAGGGAGGCTTGAGGTAGGTGGTAGTTTTGTTGCGCGGCTTAGCCGGTTTGGGGTACGGAAGGTTTTTTGGGGAGTTTCGGGGCTTGTAGGGTTTCGGGTGATTGGGGTTGAATTTGAAGCCCTCATGGCAAAGAGCCCTAGACCCTGACACCCGTTCCCCACGTGTAAGGAAGGTGCCACCTAGCTTTTTGTTCCCTGCTCGGCTTCGGATGGCAGTGTAGGGGATGCAGGAGGGCTCGTTTCATCGCCAGAACGCAGGCTGCAAGACCGCCCCGGCAATTGCCCTGCTGCGAAGTCGGCTCCTTCCAGCTCGTGACGCGAGAAAAAGGACAAAAGAGGTTTGGAGCCAGTCGAGAGAAGGTTGTTTGGGTTTGGGGTGGCGCCCTGGCCTAGGCTTTGGACATGTTGGACAGCGTAGTCAGAAGGATAAATGCCAACGAGCCACACACTCAGCGTAAAACGATCGTCCAAGGCACATCTGAGCGACTCCCCAGGCGTGTACTGCAACAAGTAGGGCGAGAAGCTTAAAATCGAAAACTCAGTTGCCTCCAGAAAAATTCTGGTTTTATCTGTACAGTGGTCGCTACAATCGGTGTACAAGTAAATGTTCATAAGCTGCCTGAGGTTCAGCTGACGGTCTTAAGGTCTAGGGTGCTTCATGGACTGCCGGGGATTGGACAACCTGGTATCTGCCCTCAACTGTAAAAGTGACCTGTTTGTAATGCACATAGATTGGCCGAAATAGGTGAACACGCCCTTATCCTATACCCTAAACCCTCAGCCCAAGGAACTTAGCGCTCAGCATTCCAAGGAAATTAAAGCCTCGAGCAGGCATCTTGCACCCCTTGGTGAGCACCGAAAGTTCGAAAAGCTTCACAAGCCCCCCTCCTGAGGTGCTGAGGTGCTCAGAACACGAATCCCTTGCTGTAGCCGCTGCAGTCTTCCCGAATTTCAAAAAAAGCATCCCGCGGGTGTGCACCGACATGCAAGGACCAAGGCTTGGGAGCCTTGCCGAGGAGAATTCATTGCTTGCTGGGTTGTGATGGCTCAAGACCTGAGGAACATACCTGCTTATTTCACCTACAAGCGTTTCTAAGTTTAAGTGGGTTCGTGGGGGCAGCACACGAGCGCAGGCCTCACAATGCACAACGCCAGAAGATGGCTTCCGTTTTCTGTAGCAAGCCAGATGTCACCCCGACCAGGTTCATGCCGGCAGTGCCGATGCCCTCGTAACAAGACTGGCAAGTCTAGAGACAACACATGGTAGCTGATCGATTGAGTGATAGAGGGACGTGTTTTTCTAAAACTCGAGGATGTTGGCAACTTGTAAAAGTACGCGTGGCCCCGCGTGGACAGGGCATTGGCCCTCGATGCCTTCCGGGCGGCAGCAGCCATAGCCATGGCAGTTGTGGGGGAGATCGACCAGTCCCTGGACCAGTGACTCGTCCTAGTTTCTGAGTTCGGGCACGCTTACATCGCAGGTGCAAGCTCGAAGCTGGGAGTTTTGCCAGCTAGCAGGAGCAGGTACTCCTAGTTGCAATCAAAAAAACTGTTCGGCTTCAGTTTCATTAGGATCCACCACCCCCAAACCCGCTTTTGTTTGTTCGGTAATTCAGGCCCTGCAGGATCCTGCAGGATTTTGTTGTCGAATGCGAATGTGGCCCCTGCACCATGCCAGAACCAAATCCTGCAACCCTACTGCCGCGCCTTGCAAGCCCGACAATAACAACGCAACCATGCGATCCCATAACTGAACCTTTGGCGCAGCGTGTTCAAAGCCCGAAGACCAAAGCCCAAGCACAGATCTGGATTCCCAGGTGTCTGGAGGCTGGGCCGCGACTGGGGGTCGCAGGGCTGGTGTTGGGGCATGGGGTGGGCGCGGTTTGGGGTGGGAGTTAGAAATTCCGAGGAGTTTCGGAGAAGGCAGCTCATTGCAGGGCTTAGGGTGATAGTGTTTCATAGGACGTTTGCGGGCTTAGGGTTGAGGGGGTGGTCTCCAGTGATTCAGTTCTTCAGGGCTGTGGGGCAGCTTTCGGGGGGGGGGGGGGGGGGGGGGGGGGGCATGTGGGGTTTACGGTTTATGGCCTAGGGGTGTTGGTGCAACGATGTCTGCCGGTCGCCGACTTTCTCTGGAGCAGTCTGCGATGTCTTAGAGTTGTCAATTCATGGATTCGGGCTTTCAACGGCTTAAGAGAGGGGTCAAGCGGTTTAGGGCTCGGTTTGCCCCGGCAGCCCTCTCATCGAAGTGCCCGCCCCTGTGCAGGATTTGAAGCGCCACTTCCTGTCCCTCCGGCAGGAGATGGATGCCCTGAAGGCTTCCCCCTGCGCCCAAGAACTCGAGAGCATCTTCGGGAAGTCAATACCCTATGCAGAAGTATGAAAAGATCTCTTGGTTCAGGCTTACAAGTGCCCCCTACGGCAGACCCTAAACCGCATTTGGAAAACATGCTTTTGCTTGCACCACTTTTTAGAAAATCTTAGCAACCCTGCTTGTAAAAAAACTCTTGCAGAGAGGCTTTGAAAGGTATGCCCGGTGGGATTTGTCTGCCTCAAGCCAGGCAGACAACGACGCGTTAAAGCAGCCTGCGAAGGGGAAGGCCGTCTGGAGCCGGGGGGGGTCGGGCATCAAGAGCAGAGGCCCAAGAAGCCCATGGTCTCGGAGGGTGCTGGCTCTTCATTTGCGACAGTTTGGCTCACGTTTCCGAAGTGCTCCGAAAAAGGCAAGCGGCTCAGCTGAAGGGCTGTCTCCACTAAAAAGACACTGCAATGTTTTGTCGGTTTTCATCTTGCAGAATGTGTGAAGGCCGGCGATCTGAATAAGATCGAGCAGCTCGAACTGGAAAACGAGGCCGCGGAACAGCAGAGGGGCAAAAAGAGATTTCTGGGGTAAGATCTGTGTGGGCTGCCTCCAGGCTAGTCAAGTTTTTTCGGGATCCTGCTGGGACTTCATCAGTTTAGCAAACCCTACAGTCAGCGACGAAGCCAGTCAAGCCCCGAAACTCGCACCCTGAGCATCAAAAGAACGATGACCTTCATGTGGGAGCACAGACCCATCAACTGGACCGAACGAGAGTTGCCCCCTCTAAAAGGCCAAAACCGTAGGACTGCCATCCCCACCATGAGCCCCAAACCTGCAAGCCACTCTGGCTGAACCTGCCTGGATAGGTGCTGACTGAGCAAGTCAACGAGCTGAAGGCAGCAAATCCCCGCAGGGGGAGGGCGTGGATGCATCGTGGGTCCACCTGAACTTTACTCCCCAAAGCCCGCCTTTGAAGCAGGGAGTCATCTCTTGCAAGTTCCTGGCTTCGCAGGGAAACCCTGCTTCATATTGGGTTCTTTCATGAGAGGCTACCTACGGGGGTGCCTCCTAAGGAAGAACCAACCTCCGCATGCTCATGAAGCCTTCTCCTCTCTTCCAATGGGACCCGGTGGCAAGCCTCACCCCCCCCCAACATAGCTCTGTACCCAAGGCACACCACACCGATCCTAAACCCAATCAACCCTCAATGCCTCTCCGTGAGGCACAGCTTTACATGACGAGCTCGGCCGTGCTCGATGACGAGCGGATTCAGAATTCGGCCACCCGCCTCTTGGCCGGAGCTTTTGGCGTGCCTTCGGAGACTCTCAAACCTCCTGATGCTTCAGTTGTGTTTTTTCTACAAGCCTACGTGGCAGAGGGTCAGGCGTTCGGCCCCCAAAAAACACCAAACCCACCAGGTGCCACGGGAGTCTTCACGGGGGTTAGGCTTAGGGCTTAGAATCCAAAGCGCCCAGGGTGTCAGATTTCAAGGGTGAAGCGGCCGTGAGCTCCCCAGGGCTGGACGCCCAAAGGAGATCCCGCCATTCCAAAAGTTCGATATGGGTTTTCATCCTTTTTCCCAAAATAGGCGTGCTACGGCACAAACTATACTCCTGCTTGTAGGAACCCCCCCCCCTATGGATCTTTCGAGGTTTCAAGGGGGGTTTCAAGGCCACCTTGAGAACCCTGGCAATGCAAGGAGCACGCTGACTAGGGAACGATGCTGTGGTTGGCCAGGTTGCCTGGTTGCTAACCGTTTCCTACTTGACTTTTGGACGCCGAACAGCTTCTGGCAAGTGCGGAGCAGCACATGGCTGTTGCTTGCCAGCTTTTCTCGAACGTCGGACAAATTCGAGACTGATTTGCTTCGTGAACTCAGTTTTCCTCAACCATGATGCGCTGATATGCATCTGTCAGTGTCTGCGCGGCTTTGTTTTGCAAGTTTTTTCGTGCACAAGTGCGTTGCGATGGACATGAGCAGCTGTTCTGAAGTTGTGCGGATGTTCAACTTGTCTGAAAAAGCTACGTGGGCACCGAGACGAAAAAGGTGGCAAGAATACTTCGCAAGACATTCACACATCCCCCATTCGACTCAAAATCCTCCGTAGCCACGAGAAAAGGAAGCCTTGAACAATCCTCCAAACTGTTAAATTAGGAGTTTTCAGAAAGCCCGGTGGAGAGTCCCCCCCCGGAACTGGGTAGAAATATTCTTAAATAGTTTGGCTTGGGGTTACAATTCTTCCAACAAATTGTTCAATTCTTGCGGCAATTGCGGCAATTGTTTCTTATATTGTTCAATTGTTGCGACAATTGTTTCTGAATATTGTTCAATTCTTGCGAACATTGTTTCTTAAAATGTTCTGTTGTTGCAGCAATTGTTTCTTACTTTGCAACAGTTGTTCTGGGCTTGTTCATTCTTTGCGACAATGGTTGGTTTAGCATTGAGTCATTGAGGCATTGAGTTCAGGACAATGATAAAATGAACTAAGAACGCCTAAGTTTAATATTCAATTCTCAACTCTGCTCACTTACGCCGCGCCGCAGCAGGATTCCGCATTCTTTGACAGTTGTTGTCATGAGGTCATTAGGGTCAGGGTAGTCTGACGCTCAGCCCCGTGTAATTGCCTTACGTGAGCGTAGCGTTAAGTCATTTCGGTCCCTAAGCACTTGGCCCGGCACTTGCCACGTGGCCATGTGGCGTTTGCCATGGATCTGCAAGCTTTAGCTGGCGTTGCGCGGGCAGCAACAGGCTGCGGCCCCCAGGGCGGGTGGACTGCGTGCCCGGCGCAGGGCCTTGCGCCGGGTGGAGGCCAGGGAGCGGCGGGCGAGTTCTGCGCAGGCGTCCTTTCGTCTGCAAGCGCAGCAGACAAACAGATCCGGCAGGGGACGAACCGAAGATCATATACTCCCTGTCAGCAGCGGCGCCAAGCGCTCTGCAGTAAAGGGCAAAGGAGCGTGGAAGCGATGGACTCCGGACGCAATTCTGCGGGGAGGCTTCTCGCCGGGTAGCATGAGCTCGCGCAGCGCTGCAGGTCAAATGGAAGGGGCAAGCGCCTCAGGCGTGATGAGCGCTAGACTCTTCGTGGCTGAGTGCATTGAGCAGGGCCAGAAAGACTACGCTTCTAAGCTTCAGCGGCAGCTACATCACGATGGCGACGGTCCTCTTGATTTTGCAGTGCTGAATATGATGTTCGATGAGACAGAGTTGGAATTAGACATGGGCAGTGAGGGGGAAGCTGCCTGGTCTGTCCTCGCAAGCCATTCTCAGATCACTTTTTGCAGTCAAGGGCAAGTCGTTGACTTTGATGCTGTTCGCGCCCCTTGCGTTTTGCCAACGAAAAAGGCAGCTACCATGTGGCCTGTGCTAGGTGCTGGAGTTGGCGGCCTTTGGCCGGGCGTGACCTCAGTTGACGCAGAGATGCGTGCTGTCCTGATCACGTGCGACGCAGGCCCAGCAAACATCAAGTTACTAAAGCACCTGTGCGCATGCCTGCCAGATTCAGTTGGCTTGATTCCCACGCTTTGCGCGCAACATCGCAATGGCAACGTGATCGAGCGCGCCACGAAGTTGTTGGGCATCTTGCCGGGTTGCTTTGCAGTATCGAAAACCATGATTCAAGGGTCGTGGATGCGAACCATTGGCAAGCGTGTCCAGGAAGTTTTAGCTGCCAGGCTCATCGTCATGGAAGAAGACCCCGAAGGTTTGCAGGAGGAGTGGGCTCGTTCCCGGGTAGCGGCCAGGGCTTTGCTAGATTTAGTGATCTTGAATGCTCCGCAAGGCGAGGACGACCAGCCAGCCCGCGGCTTCGCGACGGCGGTGAGCGACTTCATGACCTTCTTCCCTGGTCCATGGAAAGGACCGCCGGTTTGCTCATGCGCGGGGGATGTTTTGGCAGGGTAGGGTGGGGTTTGCCTTTCAGAGCAAAGGTTGCACTTGTACCAGGGTGGTTTTAATTGCGTAGGCCTGGCGTTGAGTTGAACTGCGTTTGAGCGTCAGGAAGGGTTTGCTCGGCGTTCTTGTTTGTCCCTAGACTCTAGACTCTAGACTCTAGACTCTAGACTCCTCTAGACTCTAAGACTCTAAGACTCTAAGACTCTAAGACTCTAAGACTCTAAGACTCTAAGACTCTAAGACTAAGACTAGACTCTAAAAAAAAACTAAACTCTAAGCCTCTAAGCCTCCAAGCCCTAAGCCCGAAGGCTCCAGGCCCTAAGCCCTAAGCCCTAAGCCACGCCCCTAAGCCCCTAAGCCCTAAGCCCAGGCCCTAAGCCCGAAGCCCTCAAGCCCTAAGCCCTAAGCCCTAAGCCTTAAGCCTTAAGCCTTAAGCCCTAAGCCCTAAGCCCTTAAGCTAAGCTCTAAGGCCTAAGGCCTAAGCCCTAAGCCCTAAGCCCTAACCCTAAGCCCTAAGCCCTAAGCCTTAAGCCCTAAGCCCTCCCCCTAAGCTTGCCTACGCCCGAAGCCGGCCCTGAGCTGAAGCCACTAAAGCCCTAAGCCTAAGCCACTAAGCCCTAGCCCTATAAGGTGTAAGGCTTAGTGTAAGGCCCTAGGCCCTAGGCCTTAAGCCTGAAGCCTTAAGCCCTAAGCCCCAAGCCCTAAACCCTAAGCCCTAAGCCCTAGGCCCTAAGCCCTAAGGCCCTAAGCCCTAAGCCCTAGGCCCAGGTTCTAACCTTAAGCCTTCAGCTTAAGCCTTAAGCCTTAAGCCTTAAGCCCTAAGCCCTAAACTCCTAAACCCTAAATTTCTAAACCCTAAGCCTTGAAGTCCTTGAAGTTCATGAAGCCTTGAAGCCCTAAGTGGCCCCTTCAGCCATCTTCAGCAAACGTGGACGTGACTGTGAGTCCACTGTGAGTTGTGTTTGTTTGCACTTCGAGCCTCGCCATGCTTCTGCAGTCGATCAGGTTGTCCGGACTTGGGGCGCTCTTCACAAGCCACGATGCACGCAGAGATGCGAGTCGTGGCCTCTGGCCGGGTCCAGCTCTTCGCCAAGACGACAAGCTGCTCCGAGCAACAGAGCAGTTGCGCGCGATGCTGGTCTCGGAAGCCTACGGCGGCGTTGTGGCTGCGCGTCACGCGCGCGACGCTTACAACGAGAGGCACGGGCTTGTTGAAACTTAGGCATGTGCTGCTGAAGATTCAGGTTAAGTTGAGGTTCGGCTTAAGGCTTAAGGCTTTTTAAGGCTTAGGCATATGGCTTATGGCACGTGGCATTTGGCATACACAGCGTGTAGATAGTATATAGTACATAGTATATAGTATATTAGTATATAGTATAGTATATAGGCAGCGATAGTTTATGCCTAAGCCTTAGCCTTATTCGCTCGCCCTTAAGCCTTAAGCCTTAAGCCCTTAAGCCTTATTAAGCCTTAAGCCTTAAGCCTAATGCCTAATGCCTGTTGGCCTGTAGTGCTGTCCCGACAGGCATCCGCTGAGCTTGGTGCTCGACATGGCCTTGTTCTCGCCGGGTTGCCGAGGCAAACTGTGGCTTGGAGGCGAAGCTGCAGCGAGCAACCTCAGCATTCTGAGGGCCAACAAAATCACCGTTCTGTTTCCAGCGGCCTCGAAGCCTTGTCAAGCCCAGTCCATGGATCTCCGAAGCCTGGCGGTCATGGACGGCACCGGGGTCGCCAACGGCGAGGTGTCCTAAGGCTTAAGGCTTAAGGCTTAAGGCTAAGTCTTTCAGGGCGTGGCTGAGCTTTCTTGATGTAGTTTTGGTTTTGGAAGTTTCAGACCCTTGTACTGCTCTTTACGCGTGGATATATATTATATGTATAAGTCATAAGTCAGTATATATTACGTGAAACAGGGAGGGAGGGAGGGAGGGAGGGAGTGAGGGAGGGAGAGAGGGAGAGAGAGAGAGAGAGAGAGTTAGTTGCTAGCTTCAAGCCTGCGAGCCACATATTAATACGAGCCGGGAGATCTAGGAGTCTTATGCGCGAGGCGTAGTCAATCCGAGTCAATCCCCTCTTCTTTGCGCAGCTCAGGCTGGCCATCTGCGAAGGTTTGGAGAACGACGGCAGAGTGTCTTGCGGCGACGATGGCGGCCACACGCAGCTGCTCAGTTTGGACGACACTTGGCCAGTGATCCAGCAGACCAGCTTCGTTGAGCACCACGTCTGGAAAGACGTGCCTGGCAAGGTGACGTGCTTGGGCAGGTACAAGAAATTCGCAGATGCTTTCTGCAAAATGGGGGAGTACTTGTTTCGCCAGCTTCCTTCGTTCCAGCACCTACCCAAGACGGAGCCGACGGCTGCTACCATGCGGCACTGGGCCAACCAGTTGTCGACTGAGTTGGGGGAGTGGGTCGTAAAAGACGAAGACAAGGAGAAGGCTGCCAAGACGTGCTTCCAACGGTGCGCTGACCACTTCAAGACCGCTTTCTCGGCAGGGCTAGCAGCGGTTGCCCAGGTCGTAGCCCAGGTAAAGAAGGGACAGGCGCCCCTCACCCAGCAAAGCGTTGACGAGCTCTTGTGCAAGATCCCGTCGGATCACCCTCTCCGAAGTTTGTGCTCCGCTTTCTTTCAGGAGCGTCTGGCCAAACGTTCATATGTATGTATATTATATATATATATATATATATATACATAATACATATATCTGCGTGCGTGTGTGTATCTATCTTGAAACTCATGCAAGATTTACAGGCAGGCTATAGGCTCTATACAGGCCCACTAGGCTATAGGCCCTAGGCTATACTAAAGCCTAAGACTGCAAACACTATATACTATATACTATATACTATATACTATATACTATATGCTATATGCTATATACTATATACTATATACTATATACTGTATACTATATACTACTATATACTATATGCGATATGCTATATATATATATATATATATATATATAGTTCCTAAAGGTTCAAAAAGGCTCTAGACTCTAGACTCAGGCCTAGTGGCCAGTAGGCTATAGGCCCTGCACGCCGTATGGCCCTGTAGGCTATATAGACTATAGATATGCATCTTAGAGGCTTAGAGTCTTAGGGTCTTAGAGTCTTAGAGTCCTCAGAGTTGATGGTTGGGCATGCGAGGCTTTGAGACTTTGAGATCTGGCTTTTCTTGCGTAGCTGGGGGCTCGTTGCTTTGCAGGTCGTCCTCGACTCCAACCCCGCAAAGAAGGAGGCCAAGCTGGCAGAGACGCTGACGACCATGAGCTCTGAGTTGCGCGAAGCGAGGGCCAAGATCCCAAGCGACGCTAGCGTCGCTGAGCATTTGACGTGCAGCCAGCTAGACAGCGTGGACGACTGGCTGCTCTCCGTTGCCGCCGACTTCTTGACGCAGGCAAAGGAGCGTTTGAGCGAGGGCTTTGCCCGGGTGTCTGCGACTTCAGTCGAGGTCGACGCAGTGCTGAAGAAGCTGCCTGACTTCGCAGACGAGGTTGCGTTTCGAGAAGCGGGCGTTCAAGTTGTGCAGAAAGTGGCAGGCCTCACGGCCAAGTTGGAGCAGGAGGCTTCTTCTCTGAAGGAGAACGCCAGTAGCGCAGAGGCTTGCATGAAAGCGCGCTTCTCAGACAGAGCGCCCGATGCTGCCCTCCTCCAGAGCTGCGGAGAAGCAGCGAAGCGCGTCAGCTCAGAGTTCCTCAAACAGACAAGCGGCCTGGTTGCTCGGGCAGGATCTGTCGTGGCCTTAGTCGCGAACCTTTGTTTGCTGCGCAGCCCGGCGCTTCAAGCACCTTCGCCTTCGGCAGACAGCTTTGAGCAGCTCCGCGACGTCGTGAAGTCTTTGGTGGGGAAGCTGGGCAAGATGAAGGAGATAGCGAGCGACAGCGATGAGTTTGACAAGGCTTTCTTGAGCTTTGCGGACGGGATTGTGACCCAGTCCAAGCTTGTGCTGGCGCGGCAGAAGTCTGTGAAGCGTGGCTCAAAGAGAGCCGCCGGAGACGAAGCTGAGGAGGTCCTGGAAGCAGGCGAGTCAGCTTCAATGCTGCCAAAGTCAAAGCTGTCAAAGAAAGAAGCGAAGGACGAAGTGACGAAAAAGGACAAGAGCGACAAGAAGAAAGATAAGGACAAGGACAAGTCGGACAAGGTCCAGGAAAAGGCCAAGAGCAAGAAGAAGAAGAAGAAGGCTAAGGAGGACAGCGACACGGACGAGGAGGACGCGAGCGACAACGAGGCGCAGAAGAGCAAGAAGGCCAAGAAAGACATCGGCGAAGAGAAGAAGGCCGGGCCGAAGGCGAAGGCGACTCCGAAAGCCGGCAGGGGTAGGGGAAGAGGCAGAGGCTAGGGCGACCTGTAGACGCTGTAGACAGTTCGGGCCGGCGGCCAAGCTGGTCGGCCCAGCTGCTCATCCGTAGGCTCTATCCAAGCTGCTTCTCTCGCGCCTGCTGTGCCGGCAGCTCGTGCCGTTAGTTTTTGAGAGCTGCGACGCCGGCGGCGGCGGGAAGGTCGGGCCTTTGGCTGGGTGAGTTCAAATTTCAGAATCGCAACAGTCCGCAAGAGCCACAGTCGCAAGACAAGGCTTCGAGCCTAGGACCTAGGCCTATAAGTAGCCACGATAATTAAGCCTAAGCCACCTAAGCCTAAGCCTAGGGCCTAAGGCCTGAGACGTTTACTGAGATGTCCCAGCGCCATTTCGACGCAGTCGTGCTCAGGACTTCGCGGGGTTACAGGTCGCCGCGTCCGAAAAAAAGGCGCCTGCGCTTTGCTCCGCTGCTAGATTCGGCTGGCCTAGTTTTTAGGGCTTCAGGCTTCGGCTTAGGGCCTTAGGGTTTTAGGGCCTTTAGTGTAGTTAGGGTTTCGGTTAGGGTCTAGTTTAGTTTAGTTTAGGCAAGTTTAGGGCCTATAGGGTTTAGGGCCGGTTTTAGGATTTAGGGCCTAAGGCCTAGGACCTAGGACCTAGGACCTAAGGCTGGCCTAAGGCCTAAGGAAGGCCGAAGGCCTACGTAAACATTAGGCTTCGGGCTAGGGCAACGGGTTTAGGGCCGGGTTGAGAGTTCAGGTTTAGGGCAGTTTAGGGCCTAGGGCCTAGGGCCTAGGGCCTAGGGCCTAGGGTTGAAGTCTAAGTTTAGGGAGTTTAGGGCCAGTTTAGGGTTTAGGGCCAAAGTTTAGGGCCTAGGGCCTAAGGCGCTTGGAGTGTAATTTTAGGGTTCGTCGTAAAGCATCGTAGGTTTTGGCGGCCAGGGTTCAGAGGAAAAGTTGAGAAGATTGGTTGAGAGTAATTTAGAATGCCAGCTGTAGCGGCGTCAACGTCAAATAAACTTGCCTCGTGTTTGGAACTTGAAGCCCAAAATCCCAAAACCCCGCAAGAGAATCCAAGACTACGATTCGTATTTAGGCGCTACGCGTCATCTTAGGGGCCTTCAGCGGCATTTAGGATCTTAGAGTCTTAGAGTCTTAGAGTCTTAGAGTCTTAGAGTCTTAGAGTCTTAGAGTCTTAGTGACTTAGCGTCTTAGAGTCTTAGAGTCTTAGAGTCTTAGAATCTTAGAGTCTTAGAGTCTTAGAGTCTTAGAGTCTTTAATTAAGCTTTAAACTTTAAAGTAAAGTCTTAAAGTCTTAGACTTAGACTTAGACTTAGACTCTTTAGTAGACTGTTAGACTCTTTGCTTGCGGCTCAGTGAGGGCTGTAGTCAGCGTAGCCGTAGCCGTGGTAGTCGTAGCAGTCCTGTCGCTAGCCCGCGCTCTCGACAGCTCGTTGCCGAAGGCGAGGCAGACAGACATGGAGCCTAAGCAAAAGAAGCCACGGTCTTTGACCAAGCAAGACTCCGCTGAGCCTGGTCTCATGATAGCGGCCTCGCGCCGGGTGGTGTTAGCAGCTGACATCGTCGATGGCACCATGCTCCACGCGTTGGCCCTCGAGAACTTGCAGCAGTTCAAGTCCATGCATCCCGACAGCCCTTTGTGCTGCGGACAAGCGGCAAGTCAGCCTGAAGCGCTGGAGCTGTCGTGGGCGTCAGCCTGCTCCGGCTCAGAGGGCGCGTTCTACGTGATGGAGGCCATGAACGCAGCCTACAAGCGCATGTCCGTGCCAGTTTCGCTGGAGCACGTTTTCAGCTGCGAACGCCTCTTGGACCGTTTTGACTAGACCCTTGTTACTGTCGCTTCTGCTTCTCAAACCTGCGGTAGACCGAAGCAAGGCTCAAGTCCCTCTAAGCGTAGGACTTTTGTTAGGCGCGGCCTCAAGATTGCTCATAAGTAAAGTGTAAGTTGAATTTTGCGTTGCGTTTAGTTTCTTGCTGAAGCTCTAAGGCTCTAATAAGGGGCTTGAGGCTTAAGCTTAAGGCTTAAGGCTTTAAGGCCCTAAGGCTTAAGGCTTAAGGCTTAAGGGCTTAAGGCTTAAGGCTAAAGGCTTCAGGCTTAAGGTTTTCAGGCTTAAGGCTTAAGGCTGGCTTAAAGGCTTATGGCTTAAGTTCAAGGCTTAAGTTCAAGGCTTAAGGCTTAAGGCTTAAGGCTTAAGGCTTCAGGTTTAAGGCTTAAGGCTTAAGGCTTCAGGTTTAAGGCTTAAGGCTTAAGGCTTCAGGCTTAAGGCTTAGGCTTAAGGCTTAAGGCTGGCTCAAAGGCTTAAGGCTTAAGTTCAAGGCTTAAGGCTTAAAGCTTAAGGCTTAAGGCTTAAGGCTTAAGGCTTACGGCTTAAAGCTTAAGGCTTAAGGCTTAAGGCTTAAGGCTTAAGGCTTAAGGCTTAAAGGCTTGCTTAAGTTTAATGATGATGCTACGGTTAAGGCTTAAAGTTGGCTTAACGCTGACTTAAAGCCTGCCTGCAAGCCGCCTCAAAACCCTTCAAATACAAGTAGGAGTTGTTCATCGGCTGCTATGCTCCCAAGGTGCGCCCGAGAAGCAGAAGTGGATCCAGGCCTTGTTGGCAGTGGGCCCATTGCGCGACATCGACTCTGACGACTGGCCTCCTGCAATCGACCACGAGAGCTTCGGTCACGTTGAACATGGCGGCATTGGCTTTGGCCATTGCGTGTTTCAGGACATCACGGAGTTGAAGGGGCTTGAGGCCGCGTGCTGCAAACATAACAGGTCATGCGACGTTCCTTCAGTCGACATTTTGGTGGTTGGGACCTCTTGCAAGGATCTGAGTAGGCTGAACCATACTGCGGACGGCGCAGGCGCCGGCAGTAGGACAAGCAAGCAGGTCCTCGCGCAGGCTTCAAGCCGGGGCGGCTCAGCGCAGACCTTCGCTGGCCTTCTCGGCTATGTTGAGAGTCATCGCCCGCTCTGCGTGCTCTACGAAAACGTTGATGCCATCAACGACCAAGCTGGTGCATGCGAGGACAATAACCTCAAGATACTGCTGGGCAAGTTCCACGCTTTGGGATACGAGGCGCAGCCAGTCATGACTGACGCGTGCGAGTTTGGGCTGCCTGTTCATCGCCACAGAGTGTACATATTGCTCGTGAACAAACGCAGTCCCAAGCTCGACTTGCTCAGCAGGCCACTTGATATCGTCATGCAAAAGTTTCGCCAGCTTGTCAGCAGTTGCGCTCGCTCACCGCCTTGTCTCTCCAAGGTGTTGCTAGACGACGATCATGAGGCAGTTGAAAAGAGTTATGAAGAGCGGCTGGCGCGCGCGCAGAAAAGCCAGGCCAAGAAGAGCCCTTCTACAAAGACAGTCAACTGGGTCAACCAGCACATGAAACACGCAGACTCCCTGGGAGTACGGTGGGCCTCGGCGCCGGGTGAGGCGCTGCAAGGGAACAAATGGTTCCAGCTGCTCACAGAGCGGGAAGCCGACGCGTTGAAGCTTTCAGAGGTGGAAGCGCCTAGCGCGGGTTTCAGGAACCTTGCTCAGAGCATCGGCCGCAACAACTTTGTCACCAGGCAGGAAGATGGCACGCACCTTGGCCCTACCATGCTACCAGGGCAACTGATGTGGACAAACCTGACACAACCTCAGCCGCGCTTGCTCAGCGGATTCGAGGCCATGATGCTGCAGGGCTTTCCGATCGGCCCGTGCTTGATGAGAATGAATGAGGAAGGCTACCTCGTGACAGCAGAGGCCGCGACAGCCAAGCAAAAGGAGTTTCCCACCGATTCTTTGCTCCAAGACCTCGCGGGAAACGCAATGGCGTTGCCAGTGGTCCTGAGCATGATGCAAGCCGCTTTGTCAGCCTTGTGGCTGCAGCCAGCGCAGCAGGAGTCCAACGCTATGGCTGTTGAAACGGCCTTAGGCGCCATGTTCCTGCTGTCATCAGGGGGCCTCGGGCCGGGAGACTCGCAGGCTGCGGAAGACGACGATGAAGACTTCTGATTCGGATCCATTGTCGCGGCCCGCCCGCGCGTCTTGATCTTCTCGAGCAAGCGGCCCAAAGAGGACCTAGTTTTGGCTCACTCGAGACTCTTGACTCTCGACGATTCTTGCGAGCGGAAGATCGATGCGAAAGGGGGGGGGAGAGACCGTATGACGACGTATGACGTATGACATAGCATGGCATAACATAACGTATGACGTAAGCATATGACATACGAGGCATGACGTGTGACGTATGACGCATGACGTATAGACATATACGACGTAATACTTAATACGACGTACGACGCTGGCAGCGGCGGTGCTGCAACAATTATTCGCAACTTGTAAGCAATTTCAGCAGCAATTGTTTTAACAATAAAACAATTGTTCTAACAATTGTTGTAACAATTAAACAATTGTTCTAACAATTGTTGTAACAATTAAACAATTGTTATAACAATTGTTGTAACAATTAAACAATTTTACCAACAATTATTGTGCTTATAAAACAATTACCGTTGTGTATTGGTGCCCACCGGCAGCGCCGGGCTTCTAAGAACACCTAACTGTTAAACTAACCCCCCAAAAAGGAAGAGAAGGCGTGCGACAGGCAGCCACGAGCAGAGGAAGCTTTCTAAATCCTGCCAAAAAGGAAGAAGGCACATGCGAAGGGCATTCCCCACCCTTTCCGAGGAATGGCATGGCTTGCGGGGGCTGACACTCCGTCGACGTCGAATGGCATCTCCGCGATCTTCCGCAGGGTCCGGGGAAGGGTCTTGGGGTGTTTAGGGTGTCTTGGGTGCATGTAGGGTTGATAGGGTTAAAGGTGTATAGTGTCGAGGTAGACAGTGAGCTCCTGTGGGTGGGAATCCGGGATGTGAAAAGGGATTTTTTTTTTTTTTGGGGGGGGGGGGGGGGGGAGCAGGGGGTCAGGGATTGTTAGGTTCTTCGGCCCTTCGAGTTTTGAGGTCCTCATTGATGGTACAGTACTCAGACTGGGACGACTCTTGTTCACTCAGAGCTTTGAGCATTGAAGTTCTATAGAGCCGGGTTTCTCCGCAAAAAGTGGCCTTGGGGTGGTGAGCGCTTTGGGAACTCTTTGCTGGTTCGTGAACCACTTGGGCCTTCATTTTCAGTTCCAGACATCCTCCCCTACCGGGGGGCTGTGTTATGCCCCCACTCGAAATAAAGCTCAAATTGCCAATAGCCCTTGACTAGGCCCTAGACCTTTTTTTTGGGCTTGGGTAACAGAATCGTGCGTGCAGGATCCTTCCAAGAAGCTGATGCAGCAGCAGCAGCAGGAGCCTGCCAAGAAGGTGAGCTTCTCCCAGGCACATTCTGAGCGCTGCAGGATTCCAGAAGCTGTAAACCCAAGGTCCTACAAAGTCACAAGGGCATTCGTGGATGAATGTTTAGATGAACCGATAGGATTGGGAAGGGTGTGGCATCTTGGATTGCAAAGCAGAAAAACGAGGCGAGTTTAGAGTGCGTCGAAGTGAGAGGGCACACTTAGGGCTTAGGGTCGAGGTTGCAGGGGCTTTTGGGCTCAGGGCTTGAGGGCCGGCCGGGGCCCCTACGCTTTTGGAAGAGTGGTGGTGGGCTGCCTTCATCCCAAGTCCCCAAACCCTGAAGCCGAGACCCAGAAGCCAGGTCGTCCCCAAGCCAGAGGAACAGGATGAGAGGCGGCAGTTCTGCATTTCGGAGTTTCGGGTTCCGGGATTGAGGTCGGTTGGGCTGCAAGGGTGGATATTTTTTGGAGGCAACCGTGCTTTGCTCAGCTTGTAGTTAGAGCTCTTCAGTGTCAGCTTGTACTCAGCTTGTTACACAACTCATCCATCCCCTCCCAGTACGAGCTGTCTCAAAGTCAACGGGCCCACCCCGAGGTTTGGACAGCGGGCACTTGCAGCTTCAGCCCCAGAGCCCCGATGAAGCGAACAACTCACCAACAAAGAGCAAAAATCCTTCGAAGAACAGCACGAGAACCCGACCACCCTGACAGCGTTGAAGTTTGTCAATTGGGAAGTGCCCCCCGCAACATATTGGTAAAGCGCCAAATCCTCAACCCTCCGCTGTGCAAGGCCGCCCCCTCTGGACCCGACGATGATCGGTCAGGCCACGCTCGAGGAAAGCAGAGGCACCCCGGCTGATAAAGCTTTGCGGCTTTGCGGTCTGAGAGGTGCTGGTTGTTAGTGGGGTGGAGTGGGCGAGGGGGGGCAGAGATGGGGAGGAGGGGGAGGGGTCAAGGTCTTCAAGCCGCCCAAACTGGAGCATCCCTGCGGAGCGAACCCCTTTTTAAGACTTCCCAGACATGGAGAGTCATGGAGAGTGAGCTGAGGCAGCTTCGGCGAGGAGCCCGAGGCCGAGGCCCCGAACTCCTTGGGGCAACTCACGACTCCCTCCCGCTTCCATTGTAAGATTTGTTGCTTGGCGGGGGGTAACTACCCCCCCCGCCCCTCAAAAAAAGAGAGACCCTGTGAGGATGGCAGCCGATTCGAGCCTGTGAAGATCCAGCGGGTCACTGGCGCAAACAAGAGGTGATCAAAAGCCCAGGCTTTTTGCAAAGGGCTTTGCACAATGAAGGTGAGAAGGCCGTTGGAAGGTCGTACCTCAAGGCAGAGGGGGGCTGTACTCGTAGTGCGCAGCGAGCTTGGGGGGGGGGGGGGGGGGTGGTTATCAGGTGGCTGGGGTAGCTGCGGTCATAGTGTCGGAGAGTCTTTGTTGCAGACGGTGGTGCATTGTAACTGGTGGCCGGAAGTTCTCTTGCGCGCTGTGGAAGGCGAGAACTTGGATCAGGCGACAGGAGAGTCATCTGCAGGTCATCTCCCTGAACATGCGGCGCATCACGGTGATTGGCATGCTGAGGTCACCACGAACGACGTGAAGCGGGAGCTTTCGTTCAAGCGCCGGCAACGCCAGGCGCCAGGGATGTGCTGTTCGAGAGTGAGCCCAAACCGAATACAGCCGTAATTCTCAAACCGCGCTCTCGGATTTCAGAAGCCCTCTGTGCCCTGCCTTGGCAACTGACCCCAAAACCCTCCTAAGACTCTCCTGGTCCCAGTCTGGCCCAATGCCAACAGAAGAGACACTGGCGGCCTCGAAGCGGCTCGGAAGCAAATCGGGTGGCAGGAGTTGCTTTGTCAAAGGGGCCCCCCCTGCCCCCCATCTCACGAGAGTGAGGCTGTAAGAAGCGCATCCCCCCCCCGGCAGCGATTGGCCAGCGCATTTTTGTTTCTATCGCAGTGGGCACTGCTCCTAGCCCGGCACCCCCTCGACTTCCGGAACAATGCTTAGGATGCACATGCTGAAGAAGAATCCCTTCGAAGGCGCTGTCGGCTGGTGTGCATTGCTTGTGTTCGGACGAGTCCCAGTGTAGAAGTCGAGGGCAAATCCAACAAGAAATGAGGGCGATTCAGATTCCTCACCCATATACCAACCCGAGTATGATTCGTCTTTAGAGCCTCAGAGCCGTGAAACAAAGCAGTAGAACCCACGAAGCATCCTCCTGGAGGATGCCCAGTTAGGGTTTAGGGCTTGTAGGGTTTAGGTTTTATAGGGTTGAGCATCAGCCGACGAACTTCCCGAACGGCGGAAGAGAGCGGGCCCGCAAGGAGTATCTTTGTGTGAACCGTCGTGACCCTCTCACCCATGCCGCAAAGGTTTAGATTCTGAAGAATCAAACTCCCAAGCCCCATTGAACTCTTTGAAATGCCCTTCCGATCCCTTCCGCCTCGTGCCAGAGCAGCTCGACGCAGCTTCGAAAAAAAGCTGCATGGAGTCTCCTGGTCTGCATTGGGCACCACCTGGCAGTAATATATATATATATATATATATGTATTTATTTATTTATATGGTGTATATAAATGTATATATATATATATGCAGAAACGTACATACAACAATTGCGCATACAACATTCAACTAAACCATGTAAGATTCATCATGGTCTGTTGAGGTTTGGTAGGGCCCGCTTTGGGAGTCTTGGGCCCTTTTTATTCCAAGTGGCAACCCCAGGTCCTGTGGCGACGGGATGAGGATGATGTTCTCCTTCCAATCGGAAAGCAACGAGCCCTTGGTGAATCGAATCGCTGGAGGCAGGGGGCGCCTTCACTGGGAGGGCACCGGGTCACCGGGATGTATGATTTGGTCCTTCTCCTGGGGCCTTTGTGGTTCGTCCCGGAATAGCCAAAAAAGGCGATATTGCTAGCTGTTAGTGTGGATGTCTCATTGCTACCTCATAGTGAGTAGAAGCGTGGTTCTGTACAGAGAGGGTCTTCCTGTGTGGGGCGGCTTATGGGGCGGCTTTCCGGATCTCTCCGCGACGCGCCGAGGCTTCGTGTTCAAGACGCTGGCTATGATTGCCATCGTCGCGAACGCCGTCTACCTCGGTTGGGCTGCCGACCAAAATGTCGGCCGACAGCATGGGTGGCGTCAGGTGTCGTTGTGTCGAGGGGAGTCACTAAGGCCTACGTGGAATTTTGTGTTCTAGGGCTGTGTCTTGGCCGGAGAGTCTTGCACCAGATTTTGAGAACGATATCTGACAAATCCTCATCGACGAACAATGGAGCCTCACCCCGAACTGAACCCAATGCCCGAATCCCCCATGTCCAGCCTTCAGGCTGCCCCCCCCCCGAATCAGTTTTCACCGATGCCCCAAAGTTGTCGCGACCAAGGTCCAAAACAGCTACCGGCGGCTGGAGGGCCGCTCGAAGCTGCCAGTCACAAGGGATCCAGACATCGCCCCTTCGCCGACATAGCGGGGGGGGGGGCATCTTTGGCCGGGGTGTGGGGGGGGGGGGGTTCTTCATGGAAACTGATCCAGAGCATCCCCAGTGCCGGGCTTTGGGCATGGCGGCTTCGGGCTTTGAGCGGGTTTTCAGTTTGATGCAAACACGCAAGGTTTTAGGATTTCTTCAAGGGATCAGTCGTGTTCTTGGTCGGTTTGGGTGAGGGTGGTTTGCGTGACCCCAGCCCAAGCCCTGGCAGGATCTTGGAGCCCTCGACCCTCGCCCCTCTCCCTGCATGTGCCACTTACCCAGCCCGTCCATTCGGACGACCCAAGTGTCAGACTCAGTGCAGCCAAGGCATTCTTCTGCTGCTGAGCTGCATCCGCTGTGGTGATGCTAGGGCGGTCGGTGTGTTTAGGTCATGATTCTTCCTGCGTTGCCCCACAGCATTCTCCATCTTCGCCCAGGCTGGTTTGCACTGGAAATCTTGATCCGCATGGCGGCTGAGAGGTTGGCGTTCGTCACAGGCACCATGGACGGAGAAGACCTGGTTCACAAAATGACGCTGTGTTCTCTATCCCTGGCTTCAGGCATGGAGTCGTTGATCACGTGTTCAGGCACACGTTGAGAATCACAGCTCGGCGTCTTCCAAGGGCCCAACAAAGGTCGTGGCACACGCAGGATCATCGTTGCAGCTGGCCGATCCCATGCTGTTAAAGCCCCCACTCTCCAACCGAGCCCTGCAGGAACCTGAGAGCTGAAGAATCTGGAACTCAAGCCCGAAGCCCCGAACACCCAGAAGCCGCAGCAACCTTTGATTGGTCAAGTCATTTTGCAGTCTCTCGGTTCTGGTTTTGGGGCCCCTTTTTGGGGTCCTTTTCGGCACCCAAAACTGAAACCGCAGCACCGAAAGACGACGCGGAACAGGTGACGATGCGTGGTGGAATCTCCTCGACTGCTTCCTGGTCGTAGACGCTCAGATGGATCAGCATAGTTCAGAAGCTGTGGCGGGGGGGGGGGGGGGGGGGGGCATTCTCTTTTGTTTTAGGGCTCAGGGCCCAACAGCCACTTGGCTGTTGTGGCGTTCGGAGCCAGACTCTGTTGGAGGTTTTTGGGGGAGGCCATGGATTTTCAAAGGGGCCCTCGGATTGCTTGCATGACATGCAGTTAAGCGCTTCAGAAGCGCTTCTGGCCCCTCCCTGCAACCGACAAGAATTTCTTCGCGAATCATTTTGAGGAGTCCTTCGTGTCGTTGGTCTGGGACGTGCCCGCGACCTTGAGCTTTCTTCGTATCCTTCGTGTCTCCCGGAGTATGTTGGAGCTTAGTACTTTGCGGACTTTGCTGCAGGAAGGGGCGCTTGTCAGATGGGGTGACTCTGCCACTGTGAGGGCTTATATGGCTTAGTGCCTTAGGCCTCTCTGGCTTGCAAGAGGGTTCTGATAGTGCTTGCGTGCTGCAAGTAGGTGAGGTTTGGGGGGAGGGGGGAGGGGGTGGGGGTGGTTTGAGGCTCAACCCTTTGAGCGGTCGATCCCCGTGCTTTGAAGGTTTTCCGGCTCATCCGGATCGTCCGGCTTGTCCGCACGGTACAGGTCCGGGCGTTGAGGGCATGGCGGTATTTGTGTTAAAGAGGGCATTATACCATGGCGTTCACTTGGGCGACCGCATCAATGCGATGTTTCTTTCCTTAGATGTATCGTCATACGGAAGCATCCACTGCCAGGCGGTGGTCAGGGAACAACCAGAATGCACACCATGCCAGCAACTTTACGGTCCTCGCCCATGCCACTTCCAACACTTTCTGCCCTGGTACATGCAATGCCAGTGATCATTTTAACAAGACTCATTCCCAAACATCCAGTGCCAGCCTGGGCCGTTCACATTTTGGGTATGGGCAAGACTTGACCCTGGGCCTTCAACCCGAAACCCTCAACCTTAACCCTGAGCCCTTTAAACCCAAAACCAAAGCCCTATCAGCAGCATTCTTTCATGCTCATGCGACAATCTTGCCAAGAGAAATGCCTCTGCTTCCCCAATGATTTCCCAATCTTGCCGGTCACTGTTGCCTCTGCCTTTGGACGGGGGAAGCGACAGGGCCAGGACCTTTTTGCGACTTCGTGGGTTTGCGCCTACACGGGGGAAGACAGAGGGTCATGACCATGCCATGGTTTTGTCGGCTGCCTGAAGATTGTCACAAGGAGCGTGTGCTAGGTGGATACTGTCCCCCCCTCGCAGCATGCTGTCAACAATTTTGTGAAACATGAGACATCACCCGCATTGAAGGCCTCGTCACGCCTCGTCTCTTTTTGGGGTTGCTGCTGAGCTCGAGCATGGAGAACTTTCGAGAAAAACTCTACAACTATAAACCCAAACATCCTAAACCCATATGACTGGGAACCAGGGTCCAAAGCAGACCGTTTGCCGCGAAGGCCTCAAGGCCAAATCTCGTGAGCCTACAACTTCAAAGTGGCTGCGAAAGAAGTTATGTGACATGGCGTTGCGCACTCAAAGATGTTTCAGCACGGCTGTGTCCCCCTAAACTGACCGGGCGACATGCTTTCCCGTTCGCTGTGCGGCGCAGGCCTTGAGAAAACTTCGCACCCTGGCTGCTCATGGTAGGGGTGGCCCAATCTGAATTCGTTTTGGAGCCCTTGTGGCTTGTTCCCAGCAGCCTTTCTGAGAGCCTGAACCCTGAAACACGAGCAGTAATCGTCAGCATCAGGAGTCATGAATGTTGACAAAGAGTGGCAGTTCCGAACAACACGGGAAACAACGGAGAGCCGGAGCGCGAATTTCTTAGGCTTAGGTTTACATGCGGGGTCTCTTTCTTGGGTCCAATTAGCCCCCTGCAGCTCGAAAAGGGCTGCAAGAGCCCCGTAAGCCCTTTCCACCCCGTCAAATACCCGAAACAAGTTCAATCCCCAAAGCCACCTCAGGGACGATGATCTTCGCCATGATCAACTCCCTGGCAGATCTTCTCTGGGCTCTGCAGGTGGTCTTCCTTATTGCTCCTCGGTCGCGCGTCCTTGGGCTCGGCTGAGCAGCCTTTAGCCCAAACCCTGAACCACAGACCCAAAACCCTAACTGGGCAGTTTGGGGTGGCTGGGGCCTCAGGCTCTGTAGACCCCGAAGCCTCCTCCGACCTCCCTTTGTAAATTCCTTGAAAGGCCATGGTCCATTCCGCATACAATATGTGTGTGTACGTATATCTTAATATCTACAATACATATCATTCGAACAGACTCTGCATGTACAGCTATTTCTCGAGCTTGAAGATTTATGCCGGCCTTGCTTGATCAAGATGGCCCGCATTCCCTGAAGCCACTTGCGCAAGGGCGCATCTCTTGTCGTGGGAGTGACCCCGAGAAGCCGAGCCCCGGAGCATCAGGACACAGCCGAGAGCTGATGAAAAGTAGTTGATTTCCCGATTCGGAGCGCAAGCGTTCCAACCTGACCCCTTTGTTTTCTCCGTGTTTTCCAGCAGACTCGGCCGTAGCAAATATGCCTCCCCTCTCCCCTTGGCACCCTGTTGGCCTGCAGGTCTTTGTCTTCAGCCTGGTCTTCAACAATGCACCTGGGCTCATAAATTAAACTTCGAGGCTTTTGGAGCCCTGGATAGTTGGAGGGTTCAACTTGCTGAGGAAACGACAGAATCATCGCAATACCGGAGAGCGTAGCCCAAATTCAGCGACGTTTGTGTCACCGAAATCTGAGGCAGTGGCGGCACATTTCGACTCCCTGCAGGTTCCGCGCATGCTTGCATCTGTCTGCTGACTCGTTGGAGCTTAGGCCTGAGAGAGCCCGGGATATCGGCGATTATCGAGAGAGTGACGGGCAGCTCCAGGCATCTGGACCCCTTTGCTTCAAACCGGATAATCTTGCGAAGGGCCTGAACGATGAAGCGGAGACACTGAACGAGTACTACGGCACTTTGTTCCGTCGCTTGGTTGCAGTTCGAGTGGCGCTAGGCTGGTTTCATTAGCATCAGCTAGATACCTTCAAAGGTCGCAGCAAACATTCATGTACTCGTTGCAATAGCTTCGAGCCGATGCTGCTCGCGCCTCAAATTGTGCTCGCAGGAATTCTGAAGCGTAACTGCTCTGAGAATTCTACGGGCGAGCCCGTCCCACTTGCCATTCATAGATCTCAGGCTCCATGGTCTCGCTGTGGTGCGTGGCTCGGCTGAACTCGCGACACCACTACTGCATCGCCAGGCATGCCACCAGGAAGTTGCCTGCTGTAGTTGAGCCAGCAGCCGTTGAGCCTTGACTCCTGATTTCAACTTGAACCCTATGGCCCTATGCCCTTCCCACAAAGCGCTCTTGCAGGGACTTACGCCCTTGGGCCTAGGCAGGGCAGAATGCCCAAGTCCAAGTACTCTAGAGAGTCAGATCTGGTGTTGTCAGGTCTTTGTGTCAGCACGAGACAGAAGTGACTGAAACCTCCATTGCTAACCCAGAAATGAATTGAAGTGCAAGGCAGTCAGTGGCGGCAACGATTGGTTCCAATACGCGGGAGTTCTTCAGAAGATCAGCGGCCTGCCCTACAGTAGGTCCTTGGAGCTTCATGGGATTCTTAAAAGCTTATAAAGGGCGAGCAGGAAAGAAATGAGCAGAAGCACGGCTACCGCCCGGACAGGAACAAATCGGCCTTGGAGGCGTGTCGCGGGGATTGCTTTAACGGCTTATAACGTTTGTTGTCAGCAGAAACCTGGGGCAAGCGAGGCATGGGCGACTTCTACTTCGTCATGTTCAACTTCTACATCGCCTTCTGCGTCGTCGGACTCTTCAACGTGGTCACAGGCGTCTTCGTCGTTGCTTGGACAGCCATCAGCAGCCTCTGCACGGAGCCACAAAGCTTCCAGACGGCCAGTCGCCGTTCATCCAAAAATGTTCCGAGGGTCCCCAGCATTGCTATAGCTGCTATGCTCAGATGTCAGCTTTCCTTGCTTTGATTCCAGCCATCGTCGCCCTAAGCCTCCAGAATCCAAAGGCCCCCCCAATCAGCCCCCGCGCAAAGGACAGCGCAGTTTGCACCCGAACCGAAGATGAGATCGTGCAGGCGCGCGCGCGCGCGCCCCTAGTCGGACCCTCCATGGAAACTAAGTGTTTGGTGTGCTTCTCAACCCGAAGCAGCCAGTAGATCGTTCTCAAATTGACGAGAAGACTCCCGACCCGCAACCCCCCCTTATTCCGGAAAAGGAAAACCCAGGGATCCCACCCGGAGTCATGAGAAGAGAGGCAGTGGAACTGCATTGGGTTTGGAGTCGTTTGGGTCGTGTTGTCCGATTCGATTATGCCTTCGCAGGGCTACCTGGACGAGATGAGATCGATGACCGAATCCATCAAGGGCTTCCTCAAGAAGGCCGACAAGGCGCAAGTGGGCCAAGACTACTTGATAATGACGTCTCGTGGCGTTCCAGCAATTGTTGAAATGCAACTGGCACATTGGCTCGGCAGCGAACTCATCCCTCGGCAACTCCGCACCCCAAATCCGGCATCCCGATCGCGAAGAAGTCTCGAGATCATGTCATGCGCTGTGCTGGGCCAGGATGCCTCCGGCACGCTGACCTACGAGGAGTTCCAAGCCCACATGGCAAATCCTGTCGTCCGCGCCCCAGAAGTTGGCCCCAAGAATTCGAAGCACTCGGACACATACCACCAGATTCTGAGGGCTTAGGGGAGGTCAAGACCCCTCAAAGACGGAACAGACCGCACAAAACAAGAAAGGCCTCGGAATGAGCTCCCTCTCGGGGTCTGAAGGTCTGAAGGTGTTGTGAGGTTTGGGGTTTCTGATCTTGGCGGGCTTTTGAAAGGGACTTGGAAGGTCGGAGTCCGATAGTCTTTCAAGTTGCGTTGCTTGAGGTGAAGGCTTATTTTTCGGGGTTGGACATCGACCCGGACGAGACCAAGATTATATTCACCTTGCTGGACTCGGACTGCAACGGTGATATAGACATCGAAGAGCCACGGCCGAACGCATTGTATGAGTGACGTCGGGTTGCGATTTTACGCGAGCTTTGGTCATTTCTGGTGCCTCCTGCTGCTGCCAGCCACCCCCTTTGTCCTCGCAGCGTTTGCAACTGGCAGAGAATGGTAGAGAGGGATGAGGGGGAGGCACCTGAGGTCAGAGCCTCCGGTAACCGTGTCATATCCTGATGTGGTGGATCCCCATCGAACTCTCCTTGTGATTTTCATTGCAAGCCAAGGAATTCGTTCATGGCACGATGAAGCTGAAAGGGTATGCCACCGGGCTGGCACGCATCATGGGGCCGCTTAAGGTGCTGTTAGAGAAACTGGTTGAATCACCATGAGGTTGTCTGAACCCGAAACTCGAGACTGGCCGAACACCTCACACGCCATGGCTGGGTTAGAACCCCAACTCCATACCCAGGCGACGAAGCTGGACATCATGGCGTTAATGTACGATACCACGCACCTCGGTCGTCTTGGGCTTTTGGGGTCACGTCAGCCACATGAAAGAAGCTGGCGATCCTACAGTTTTCAAAAGAAAAGCCCATGAAAGCCCAAGCTTAAGAGACCTTAACTCCACGACCCCCATGTTTCAAGTTCTTCCGAAGCCCCTGTCAAGCCCAGGAGCCCTGAAGCCAAAGCCTACAACAAAGCCGTCATCGACGTTCCCTAAACCCTGTTCCAAGGTCTCCCACTGACCTGAGAGAGAAGCAAACTTCCCATCTGAGGAAGCAGAGCATGCGGTTTGAAGCCTTGTGTGACTACCTGGAGAGCGCCTTGGTCATGAGCATCTCCAAACCCCCGGACGGTGGCCTCTTTTGGGAGATCTAAGTGGGATGCTTGCTGGACTTGTTTTAAGGCTTCGGGGGACTTCGGCTATTTCAAGCCGAGGGCGACCAGAGTACGGGCCACCAACCAAAGCCAAGGTCAGATCAATGACATTGTGGAAGCGCTCCCCATGGAGCACACTGGTAGCAGGCGGGGAATGGGGCACAGTGTCGGGAGAGCCGGCAACCCCCGAATTATCGGGAGCCCTTGGGCCGACACAACCGAACCTCTTTTATCTTTTATGGACAGAGGTGTGGTCCCACTAAAGACCTATTCCCCCCCCCCCCCACGCTTGAAACACCGAAGCCTCAACGCGCGCAGCTTTGAAGTGGGTCGCCCACTCCCCCCTACTCCGTTCCCCTGGCAGGCGTCAAAGTGTTTGACGCGAGGCGGGAGTGTTCTTGCCTTCCGCCTTGAGGTCCAGAGCTTATGGGCTCTTTGGGGGTCTCCAATCACGCAGTTTAGGGCTTAGGGCTTCGGGCACAACACAGGGCCAGCAATTCAGATCATAGATATTCTTCAATATCACGTTGTCCCGAATCCTCTCATCATTTCATTTCCATCATTGCATTTCGGAAGACCCCAAATGTACATCCCTGACGCCAGATCCCAAGCAACAAGTCCCCCCAATACAGCTGCGGCATGCAGCCTACTGTATGTTGGTCCTCCGGCCCACTGGACTGTAGAGGTCGAGGAGGGGCTGGAAGGCCCGTGACAACCCGAGTGGCTCCTCTCTGTTGAGGCTTTTAAAACGACATGCAGAGGCTCGAAGAAGCTCCCGGTGCCAGGCCTGGCAGCGTGGAGCCGCAGTGCAGCGCTCCAGGGGCGATGCCTTTTGCTCCGAGGTTGGAGAGCACAGTGGTCGGAGCTCGCGAGAAGTCATATCATTCGGGTACATGATAAAGCTGCAATCGGGACCTTTTTCTACAATTGAGATAAGGGGTTGCATGTCGGTGGCTTCAGGGGTGTACCAAGCCGAAGCGAAAGTTAGAAACCTCGGCGGTTCCAAGGCCTGGCTCCTTGTGCTTTGTACAGTCAAGGGAGCCCCTGACATCGGAAAGCCCAAAATCCCAAACGCAGCCCCCACTTAGCCTTACCACTTCCCCAAGGCAAAGGTTTGGGGCACCACGGGGCCTTTTTGGAGTCCTCGGACTAAGGGGCTCTAGGACCCTTCATGGCTCAGATTTTGGGGATCTCAAATGACTCAAATGGGTGCAGCATGAGACTTGGAAAAAGGTGCCAAGAGGGCCCAGTCTAGGCGGGCAAGACGCCCGTCGAATCGCGCACCCTCGTTTCAGCTTTCCGAACAAGATACCCCTCCCACTGCAGCTCCAACATGCCAACAACACCAAAGCCCCAATAGGGCCCCATCTCCACGGCTTTGTCTTTGTGTCAGTGCCAGCGGTATGAGGTGGCCCGAACTACTTGCCCACATATTGTATGATGTATTATGTGTGCACGGCCTAGCCATGGCTACACAAGGAACTCTTCCGCACAGAAATGCCACAATACAACCGGCACCCTCAAGGGCCAATCCTGATGCCCAACCTAAACCCTAGTAAACCCTAAGCCCTCCCAAACCCCCCCCTAAAGCTAAGCCCTATGTAAACCCTGGCAGACCTCAAATTCCCCTTAACAGCCCGAAAACACCGAAGCCTCCGTGGTCTGAAACGGCCGTTTCTCGCGCCCCCGCGGTGCGGCTCGTGGCCTTCCTCTGCCTTCCGATGCCAGCGACCAGGTACCTCCTTCAAAAAACTCTACAGAATCCAGGGTTTTTGAGGGGGGTTTAGGGTTTAGGGCGAGGCTCCCAGCCCCCAAAACCTCCTCAAGGCAGACTTCGAAGGGCGGCAGATCTCATCCTTGATCCTCGAATAAAAGAGGCCTTAAGCACTCGGTGACTAATCCGGGCTGTGGAGTGCTGAAGGGATTCGCACGATGCTACATCCGAAGGCTGTTTGTCCCTCGTTTGGGTTTTCCGGGGGGGGGGGGGGCAGCCCGCCCGAAGTGCGGGGCTCAATTTCAGGAAGAGGTCTACCTTTGCACAAGGGGCTTGAGAAGGGGTGAGAACCAGCTAAGAACTCGGCACGGAAGACAGACTCATGGGCACTACCTCCTTGGAGCCCTCTGCTGGTACGTTGGCGGTCTCTTACGGGTCCATGAAAGCTTGCGCCCTCAACGCCCAAAGAATCCGTAAACTCAGAAGTTCCGAAGCCCTGAGCACCTGGGTGGCTCAGCTGCAGGCTTTTGGGAGGGTAACCCTTGCTTGCTTTCGCTTCAACGCGTTGGCCATCCTTCCCAGAATCTCCCCCCCCCCACTCAACACCCTAAAGCCGGCGGATCGAAGACCCTGAAGCCGAAGGCGCAAACCCGAAAGCCCTGATAAGGGACTGCTCCAGCAGCTCACACACAATCCACGCTTGGCGATCAGCGGAGCGTGTCTGGTGGGCTGAAACCATAAACTCTGCAAGCCCCTAGTTTGGGTCACGGCATGGCTTCTTCTCAGCACGCGCTCCGCCGCTCCGCGGGAAGCATCCCCTTCGGCTCGGAGAAGCGATCAAGCCGTGTCAAGCCGTGTAGCAAGCAAAGGGCTTAGAACTCGGGTTGCCCATTCTTGCTTGGCATCAGGCCGTAACAGTCGGTTCCTAGATCTTAACTCAACGCCTCATCGCTGCCTCCGCCCTGAATGGGGCAGAGTTCTTTCCGAATCTGCGGCGGCGCTGAAAGCGCCACGCTGCTCTGCTAGGACCAGCTTTGCTGTCGGAAAGTCCGAGCAAAACAACACCTTGAAGGTTTGTGCGGGAACTTCGAGAGATGTGGAGGGGAAGAGATGGCCAGGTGCGCCGTGCTCTGTCAGGAGATGCGAGTCTCGGGCTTTCCCAATTCTAAGCAGCATTGTATCTAGGCAGGCCCCTGGGATAAATCATATTCTCCCTTCTTTGGCTTAAGAGAATGTTTCTAGGAATATGACCTATAGTACTCGGGCTTTGCGTCTATGTGAAGCAAGTTTGACATGGTGAGAAGAGTGACATAACGTGGTCCTTATCGGCAACGGCGGCGGCACCAGAAGCAGCAGCAGCACTGGCAGTAGCACAACAGCAACATTGCAGCATGAATCATGGCGTCTGAAAAAGCATGGAAGATTGTACCATCGTCAAATGGCTCAACCTCCAGTCAGCTAGCCCATTGAGCCCCATACTTTGAGGTCCTAGCTTTGGGCTGATGCTGTGCGGGTGCCAACACGTGAAACAAATCTGCCCAGATGGTGCAAAGGTTGAGGTTTCAGCGGTCATGGGAACATGCTGCAACTGCTGACTTTTCTGCTCAAAGCCTCATCCCGCCCGGGCTGGCGAAAGGGCCGACCATGCCGCGGGCGGGCAGAGGCCGACTGAGCTGCAGGATTGGAGGATCTGGGGTCTTAATTAAAAATTTGAGAGATGCTTCCACCAAGCACGGCAGGTACGGAAGATCACAGAGCAGCTTGCTGCAGTTTTATTCAGCTACATGGACCTACAAAGTAGCAGTGCCCCACTTGCTACTTGCTGGCTCGGTCCCCCACCTGGCCCTGATGAGACGGACTGCAGGTTCATGACTCCATCCGAGAGCGCTTCGTATGCCGAGGCCGGACTGACAAACAAAACTGCAGCTCCAGAGCTAAAGATTAAGTCGATTACCCTAGAGTCGTAGCAAGTATTATATCCCGACAGTTGTCACACCTATCAACAAAGAGCGAAAGAGTGAGTGTGTGAGGGGAGAGTGACTGCTTGCAGGAGTGAGAACACGAGCGCGCATGCATTTTTGTCGCGGGGATTCTTCATCATTGGGGGCGTGGGAGTATTTGTCTTAGCGCTGCTGCAAGGATGGCTATAAGAGGCAAACGGGCTGGTAGTCTGGCTCTGCGCTCGACCCGAGAACTCAACAACCTTTGTACGTGAGCTTTGCGAGGCCCAGCGATTGGACGAATCTCGCAAGCCGCTGACCCACAAAGGCGTGGAGAAGTGGGAAGGCGCGCTGCTCCGACTTCCGAAATCTCGCGGTTGATCTGGCTTGTCGGAGTACAGGACTGTAGGAACAGGGAGTCGAGGTACTAAGACATGCCGAGGCCGGGGGGGGGGGGGGGAGTTGAGTTGAGTTGCACTTCGCAAAGTCCTTCTGCCCTCCGCACATGCTGGTGAGCTTTCCAGTCAACGCCACTGCCAGAAAGGCAGCACTAAGCAAGCCAGACGCGCATGCTGCCAGGCTCGGGATTCGTCTGGTCGTTCTCTATTCTAGGACCAGGACTGATTGGGGGGTGGGGGGCGGGGGGGTCCCTTAAGGCTCGCAACTCCCAAAACCCTAACCTTAAGCCTTATAACGCTTGAAGCCCTTAACAAGGACTCCTGGTGTGTCTGGCCGATACTGATGCCGGCTGCCTCCTGGTGGCGGGCCAGTCCGGCTCCAGGCGCAGCCTTCGGGGTCTTTTCATCAGTCGAATGCCAGCACCTGGATCAAAGGTTGCCACAATGTCATGGCACCTCTTCGCTTTGGGGCCTCAAAATCAAAAGGCACCTACGTAGGGGCTTTGGGGGCTCTTCAGGCTCACAAGCGCGCATTTATTTCTCCCCGACCTGGAAAGCGTTCACCGAATCCCCCAAACCCCGTGAGGTGGGGCTATGCCCTCTTGCCGCTGCAGGCGACGGGGCTGCTCCACTCTGAGGGTTTCAAGGGCGCCAAGGGGGCTCTGGAGTTCTGCAGGCTTAGATTCGCCAGTGCTGCAAAATAGGCAGCCGTCACATCCAACAAAGGTCAGCGAGGCAAAAGGACTCGAAGATGATCCGTTCAACCCTGGCCTCAAAAAACTCAAGCCGCACTAAGCCCCCTGCGTTCCGCGGCAGATCGTGTTGATCCCAGTCCTCTTCATGGCCCAGGCGGAAGAGAGCTTGTAGCTTCTTCGGGGCATAAACGTCAGAGCAGACTTATCAGAGTTGGCGGCTTGGTGGTCAGTTTCGTTCAGGGCCCTACACCGTATAGATCATGCCGGTGCCTCACAGGACTTGACGGTGCGGCTCGGCGTTTGCACGCAGCAAGGCCCATAGGGGTCATGTTCAGTTCGTCATTGCACCATGAACGTTCATGAAAGGTTAGTCGCAGTCTCGGCTTACGACACGGAGTTGAGGAGCGGAGATGACTTGGGACTTTGGACTCAACTGACTTGCTGCTCGAGCACTTCACAAAAGCTACCATACAACAAGGCAATGTACTGTTACTTGCTAGCACGGTTTCCTTGTTGCGGCAGCTTACGCTGCGCTCCTTAAGAGCCAGCTCGGCCTTTCAGGAGTTGCATGGATGCGGGAACTTGTGGGAGCTTGTGGGAACTTGTGGGAGCTTGGGCTTGGGCTTTGCTGGCTCTCCAGGCTTCTCCTTGCCGCTTGGCAGCGGCCCAAGGACCCCAATTAACGCCCTCGAAGCCCCAAACCTTTGGAGAGTAAATGCCCTGAACCTCCGCTGCAGCGCGCCGCTTGAGCCTCTCGCGAGGCCACAGCGCGTGCATCCGGGACCACTTCGGCCGCGGATGGCGCGCCATGCGAGTTTAGGGGCCTGGCTTGGTGAATATGTTTTAGCCAGGTCCGATGCATGTCTGTTGGAGCTCTTTTGCAAGTTGGGGAACTGTTTGCGTGCTGATTCTTTAGGCGGCATTCGCTGTTGCAAGCGCCGAGGTACCCTGTAATTACTTCCTTTTGTGAATCATGGCACGTTCTTCGTGGGATTTCTTAAGCGCGGTTGCTGCGCCGGTCGCTTGGTACAACTTTTGCAACAGCTTGAGAAAACATCGTCCGTCCCGTGGCAGACTCCCCCGGCCTCTCGTGGGCGATGCATCCTGCGCGTGTCAACACATTCAAAAGCACTTTCACAAGTAGTCCTTCTGGGTCGTGCCATCTGCGCCTTGAGAGGATGTCTCTTCGGGAGCATTTTTGGCTTTGAAAATACTCTTGACCAAGAGCTTCTCCTCTTGCTCTCTTGCGAATGGCGCGCTCCACGAGGAAGGTCACCGCTTGCGTTGTTGCGGGTGCGTTGCTGGCATGCGGCCTCTCCAGCTCCGGATTCGTGCCAGGGCCGCTTCGCAGGACGGCTGCCCCAGTGGCAGCTGCATCCGCAGCCGGCATGATGATGGCTCCGGCTGCTTTCGCCGACGAAATTGGCGATGCCGCAAAGAAGCTTGGTGATGCTTCCTATGACTTCGCGCAGGAAGTGGACTGGAACAACGGCATCTTCTTGCAAGCTCCTGGCAAGTTCCAACCCCTCAAAGCGCTTAAGGCGATTGACAAGATGATTGACATGGGTGCAGCAGCAGACCCCAAGCTCTTGAAGGCAGCAGCGGAGGCCCATCACAAGGCCATCGGAAGCATCTCAGGTCCCAACGGTGTGACTTCTCGGGCCGATTGGGATGAAGTGAACGCAGCTCTTGGCCGCGTTGTGGCGTCCGTCCCCAAGGCTAAGGTCATGGACGTCTACAATGCCGTGAAGGACATCACTGACCCTGGCGTGCCCGCGTACATGAAGTCTTTGGTCAATGGCGCAGATGCCGAGAAGGCATACAAGGGCTTCTTGGAGTTCAAGGATGTGGTGGCCAAGAGCATTGGAGTTGATTCAGATCCGTTTTTTACATTCTCAGAAATCGCACATCCACATCGTTCTGTTTCTGTGGCACTTCTATACCTAGTGTCCTTCTCACATGCATTCCTCCAACAAATCCAAGGAACCAGGTGGCCGCAGTTGGCGCTAAGGCCACTGTGCCCACTGGGGACAAGATTGGTGCGGCGGCTAAGGCCCTTTCGGATGCGTCTTACCCTTTCCTGAAAGAGGTGCAGGATTACAAAGAAGAGACTTGGGGTCGATGGCCCTTCCAAATGTTCATCACCCTTGCTGGAGATAATTGAGAAACTTCATTTAGTTTCATGGGGTTGGCAATGGGTTCCTTTGACCGAGCATGCTGATTTGTTTGTGAGAGTGCCGTGCCCTCAGGTGGACTGGCTGTCCGATGTTTACCTGAAGCCGCTGCCAGCAACCACCGCCCCGAAGGTGATGACGGCCATTGACAAGATGATCGTGATGGGAAGCGAGATGGACGGCAACCTGTTGAAGGCTGCCGCTGAGGCGCACCACAAGGCCATTGGCAGCGTCGACGCCAAGGGAGTGACATCTGCTGCGGATTACGAGGCAGTGAACGCAGCCATCGGGCGCATTGTGGCATCAGTGCCCAAGGCAACCGTGATGGATGTGTACAACTCCATGGCCACAATTGTGGATGGATCCGTTCCCAACAACATGTTCTCCAAAGTGAACCCTCTTGATGCAGCTGCCGCTGCAAAGGGCTTCTACACCTTCAAGGATGTCGTGGAAGCGTCGCAGCGATGAGAGTTTTTGGCCGGTCGCGGCCTCAACTCTATTTAATTGTTGCCAACATACTTTTTGAACTGTACAGTGCAGAAGAATGCTGGAGTCGTTGTTGCATGGGCTTGAGATTGGCACGCGCGGTGTTCAGAACTGATTCTTGCCTTGGTTTAGTGAAGTAAGGTTTAGTGAAGGAAGGAGGGTGGGATGCCAACGGTTATCTTTAGAGCCTCAGTAAACAGGCTGTGAGGCTGCAGGAGGTACTACTTTGCCGGAGTTCTTAGGCTCCACTGGCTGTTGCCCGCCGTACATCCCTTGGAATCATCCCTTGGAATCATGGCACGCTCTTCGTGGAAAGTCTTGAACGTGGTTGCTGCGATGCTCGCTCTTGTGCAAGTTTGCAACCACATGAGTTTTTTAGGTTTTGATTTGCAAAGTCCTTGACTTCCGGGTTTAGAGTTGTGGTATTGGTGGCGCAAATGCAATATCACCCGGCTCCAAACTCCACAGGTTGAAACCGCAAAGCATTTTTGGCTCTGAGCATACTTTTGACCAAGAGCTTCTCCTCTTGCTCTCTTGCGAATGGCGCGCTCCACGAGGAAGGTCACCGCTTGCGTTGTTGCGGGTGCGTTGCTGGCATGCGGCCTCTCCAGCTCCGGATTCGTGCCAGGGCCGCTTCGCAGGACGGCTGCCCCAGTGGCAGCTGCATCCGCAGCCGGCATGATGATGGCTCCGGCTGCTTTCGCCGACGAAATTGGCGATGCCGCAAAGAAGCTTGGTGATGCTTCCTATGACTTCGCGCAGGAAGTGGACTGGAACAACGGCATCTTCTTGCAAGCTCCTGGCAAGTTCCAACCCCTCAAAGCGCTTAAGGCGATTGACAAGATGATTGACATGGGAGCCGCAGCCGACCCCAAGCTCCTGAAGGCAGCGGCGGAGGCCCATCACAAGGCCATCGGAAGCATCTCAGGTCCCAACGGTGTGACTTCTCGGGCCGATTGGGATGAGGTGAACGCAGCTCTCGGCCGCGTTGTGGCGTCCGTCCCCAAGGCGAAGGTCATGGACGTCTACAATGCCGTGAAGGACATCACTGACCCTGGCGTGCCCGCGTACATGAAGTCTTTGGTCAATGGCGCAGATGCCGAGAAGGCATACAAGGGCTTCTTGGAGTTCAAGGATGTGGTGGCCAAGAGCATTGGAGTTGATTCAGATCCGTTTTTTACATTCTCAGAAATCCCACATCCACATCGTTCTGTTTCTGTGGCACTTCTATACCTAGTGTCCTTCTCACATGCATTCCTCCAACAAATCCAAGGAACCAGGTGGCCGCAGTTGGCGCTAAGGCCACTGTGCCCACTGGGGACAAGATTGGTGCGGCGGCTAAGGCCCTTTCGGATGCGTCTTACCCTTTCCTGAAAGAGGTGCAGGATTACAAAGAAGAGACTTGGGGTCGATGGCCCTTCCAAATGTTCATCACCCTTGCTGGAGATAATTGAGAAACTTCATTTAGTTTCATGGGGTTGGCAATGGGTTCCTTTGACCGAGCATGCTGATTTGTTTGTGAGAGTGCCGTGCCCTCAGGTGGACTGGCTGTCCGATGTTTACCTGAAGCCGCTGCCAGCAACCACCGCCCCGAAGGTGATGACGGCCATTGACAAGATGATCGTGATGGGAAGCGAGATGGACGGCAACCTGTTGAAGGCTGCCGCTGAGGCGCACCACAAGGCCATTGGCAGCGTCGACGCCAAGGGAGTGACGTCGGCTGCGGATTACGAGGCAGTGAACGCAGCCATCGGGCGCATTGTGGCATCAGTGCCCAAGGCAACCGTGATGGATGTGTACAACTCCATGGCCACAATTGTGGATGGATCCGTTCCCAACAACATGTTCTCCAAAGTGAACCCTCTTGATGCAGCTGCCGCTGCAAAGGGCTTCTACACCTTCAAGGATGTCGTGGAAGCGTCGCAGCGATGAGAGTTTTTGGCCGGTCGCGGCCTCAACTCTATTTAATTGTTGCCAACATACTTTTTGAACTGTACAGTGCAGAAGAATGCTGGAGTCGTTGTTGCATGGGCTTGAGATTGGCACGCGCGGTGTTCAGAACTGATTCTTGCCTTGGTTTAGTGAAGTAAGGTTTAGTGAAGGAAGGAGGGTGGGATGCCAACGGTTATCTTTAGAGCCTCAGTAAACAGGCTGTGAGGCTGCAGGAGGTACTACTTTGCCGGAGTTCTTAGGCTCCACTGGCTGTTGCCCGCCGTACATCCCTTGGAATCATCCCTTGGAATCATGGCACGCTCTTCGTGGAAAGTCTTGAACGTGGTTGCTGCGATGCTCGCTCTTGTGCAAGTTTGCAACCACATGAGTTTTTTAGGTTTTGATTTGCAAAGTCCTTGACTTCCGGGTTTAGAGTTGTGGTATTGGTGGCGCAAATGCAATATCACCCGGCTCCAAACTCCACAGGTTGAAACCGCAAAGCATTTTT